AGACCTTCACAGTGATCAGTAGTGCATCAAAGTAACCAAGAGGCATGTATATTTCGAGGAACCTGACCTCCCATTTCAAGGCCCACCAGGGACAGGGAGGATGATCTAATGAATTGGATTCGAGAAGCTCATGGCATTTCAACAAATCTGGAATCAACGTTATTTTTTTAAGTAGGCCTACACTTTTCTGTGAAGATAGACAATGCAACACACTATCACAGCTTATTTTGAAATAGACAAATGACTTAATGGAAATTCATGACAGGCACAAGAAATAGTCATTTTTCTTGTGTGTTACACAATTTTCTTCACAACGCATTTAGTGTTTTTTTACACAATTTTCTTTCTTCATAGCACATTTGTGTACATTACACTAATTCCAATTAGTTGTGGCTAATGTTAGCTAGGCTAGTTAGGTGGATAACATTAGTTAGGCTAGGGATTAAGGTTAGCATTTAAGGTTAGGGTTAGGTTTAGGTTTAGGGGTTAGGGTTAGAGGTTAAGGTTAAGGTTAGGTAACACGCTAGGTAAGTTAGAGGTTAAGGTTACAGTTAGGAGTTAGGTTAAAGGGTTAGAGGAAGGGTTAGGGGAAGGGTTAGCTAACATGCTAAGTAGTTGCAAAGTAGCTAAAAAGTAGTAAGTAGTTGCAAAGTTGCTAATTAGCTAAAATTATCCATGATGAGATTTCAACACATAACCTTTTTGGCCCACCCATCCTCCCCGACCAACCAACCTCCCTCCTATCATTTCTGTCTTAAGTAACCTACTGTCTTTATTTGTTATTGAAGTGCACTGTATACTAAATTGTGTACTGCACACGAAAAAAAAATACTTTTAGCACTAATTTCCAATAAGCAATTAATGTCTATTTCACAAAAATCTGTGATACTGGGTTGAGACAATCGCAGAATCAGCCTCTTGTGTGCAGCGAGCCTTTAGTGCGAGAGGCAAATCAGCGGGGCTGGCTGTCTGTTACTGGAATGTTCACTCAGCAATTTTGTATATATATTTTTTGCATAACCTATTTATTTGGTGTTGGAAACAACAAAAATGCACCAGTGAGTAGTTTAAAATTGTCAGCAAATATTTAGCCTGTGATTTTGTCATGGTTAAGCTACACTTTATAGAGTAGGCCTAGACTACAGTAGGCCTTATCTCTGTCACCATCAGGTCGCCATGTTGATTCTTTAGCTGTTTAGCCTAGATTTAGCTGTCGTAGGCCTAGTAGCCTAACCTATTGCTTTAGGCTTTTAAGTTTAAGAACCGTAGTAAGTGATAGAACTCAAATGACTGCATTGGTGTATTCATGTTCCACATGTAGGCAGGCCTCCAATTATAACAGTGGGGGCCCTGAGAGCAGTGGCGTAGTGGTGCCTGGAGAAGTGGGTATAATCTAATTTTGCTAAAAAAGTTCCCAAAGGAAAGGTGCCCTGTGTGAAAAAATTATATGAGAAACAGTGACATACACTAAAATTAGAAATCCCATATTGGTATTTTACAGTCAGACCAAGCTGTACTGTGCAAGTAGGCTAATAGTCAACTGAATCAGTTTTCGCTCTGAAAGTCACTGTTTTTTTTTTAAATAGAAAAATAGCAAATTGGATGTTCTAAGTCCATAACAATTCTTAAACAACATCAGGAGACAATTTTTGAGGTCTGGGAAAAATCAAAGAAATTTAGATATTTTTTATTATTATTTTAATCTAAGAAATGTAGATTTTTGGGTGTATTTACCCTTTAATTACAGTGGGCAGGCACTTAGCGCCGTTGTTTGGTTAGTGGTGTTTCTGTAGCACATGAGATAGAGTTTGCAAAACAAATGGCCACTGGATTGATGCAAATAATCATGATATCATTCTGCCAGGTAGGCATAGGCTACTTTGTAGCTAGTTTACATTTAATTGAGACGTTTTTTGGGAAAGCCTTTCCATCTACCAGAAGACAGTTAGGCCTATCATTAGCATTGATATACTGTATTTTCCCTGTTCCGTAAAGGGAATATTGCAGAATTAGGTTGCTGTTAAACATTCTGATTGGTTTCATCCTTCCAACTAAAAGTCCCAATTAGACATATCACTTTACTTTAGTATTTTGGGAGAAATTTTTATTTTATCCGAATTTGACCGAAGTCATGTCGGAAAAGGATTGGAAAAGTGACATCAAGAGCAGAACACAAGTGAATGTACAGCAGGAGTGAAGCCACTGTCCACATAAGACGGTAAAGACCCACATCATACCGAGTCCTCATTGTTTGTGAAAAAATATTTTGGCACTCTGATTAAAGCCAACTTATCATCTGACCATATCTTGTGATTTCTTTATTCTGTATTAGCTAAAAAAGTTAGCAATTAAACAGCGTTCAGGCTATTAGCATAGCCCCTTTTACACCCCTGCTGGCTTACCGCTATGCGCTAACCACTAGCAGCCTTGAAACACATCACTTATTAGCAGTTCAGCACATCAGCATTTCTCATACTGTTACACAAAATAAGATAAACCTTTACCATCATAGTAGACATTGAACGTCTATAACCAAACTGGCTAAAACTCTGTTATTGGCCGATGGTAGCTATAGCTAGCCACATGCTATTCCATCCCCAAACACCATGCTAGATCCGAGTGGGCCAGTTCATTTGCATGGCCCGGTGCACAGATTACTGGTTATCTCCGTTTTCATAATCTACTAGCAACATAACATGACAAGACTCTTTGGGGACTTTGTACCTACTTACCCGACTTGCCTCCATCACTGAAGCCACCAGCAGGCTGTTCCTTCCTTGAAGTCAAAGTCCCAATGTAGTGTTGGTATATGAGTTTTTGATAAATGTAATTCAAATTGCAAAAATAGAAGTGTATAATTATATATTTTTATAAACTTTTGCATAACGACCGTTTAGATGGAATATAATCAATCTATGTTGTTAGATTTGTGGAATAGATATCGTGCAAACTTTCTTTTAATTGTTTAAAACCTGGACATTTTACTTCATATTATGAGGCATGTCTTAACTTGCTTCAAAGTAGCCTATAGCCAAAATCCCACCATAGAAACGTTGAGGCAATTATTTTTTATAAAGACTTCCTCATATGCGTTCTCCTGTTCTATTGGTTTTCTTTCAACTTTCTTTCATTGTCTAGCAGCCAAAGGTATTATCCTAGTCATATTAGCAACCCATGATAGTTGTTGCATCTTTAGATCTCCCCTATTTCCTGTCCATGGTAGCATTTTCAAACAGTGTTTTCCCGCAAGTTGCATTTTGGAACATTTGCGCATAGGCCTACAGCCATGTGCACATTGCTGTGCTTAAAATGTTTATCAACATTTTAAGCTAAACATTCTGATCTGTTCCATCAGCCCTATTAATAGAGACAGCGTATACCACCACTACACTACTTTGATACGCATCTTGGGGATTAAGAATTGAGTATACGTAATGGCCACTGAAAAATAAGTAGGTATATGGCGTATACCCACGTATACCCTCCATTACACCATTGCCTGAGAGAGAGACCCATTAGTCCCATGGGTTTTTAGGGTGGCAGGTAACAGTTAGCGTGGCAAGTAACCGAAAGGTAGCTGGTTTGAATACCCGACCAACAAGGTGAAAAATCTGTTGATGTGCCCTTGAGCAAGGTACTTAACCCTAATTTGCTCCAGGGACGCCATACTACTATGGCTGACCCTGAAAAACAACAAATGTCACTGCTCCTATCCCGTGCATGTGACAATACAACTGTTTTTGTTTTTTTACTTATCAATTATCATTCACACTGTCACGGGCCACGGATCCCTTTTCAGGACACCCAAGAGTGATTTACATAACTTTATGGTTAAAATGTACTTATGATAGCATCAGTGTCACAAAAGTGACAGGGCCATCTCAAAACGGTTGAGGCCAAACTGCCACCGTGCGCGCTGAAGCTTTCATGTTCTGTTATGGTGGTGTGTAGTACTTAGTATTGACCACAGCATGTCGCTAGTATTCTTTTTATGATATGAAAACAGATCATTTCGATTTTGCACGAAGTTGATAAATTACCATATACATAATGATGCACTATATATATACACTTAAGCATAATAAAGGCTTCCAGACCTATTGAAGTTAATCAAGGTTACGACAGCCGAGTTTAGAAAACGTAGGCTTAGTTCGAGGAATGCACGCACAGTGGGGATGTAGCAGAGATGTTAGCTGTACTACGCATGCATGTGAGTGTGTTGAACGCAGTGGCTCAGTAAAATGTAGACGTAACGCATTTGAATTGAGTTTTTTTTTCCCTTTTTGAGTGAATGACTTTTATTGACAGCTATAAAATCCTTCTCCAGGCATACTTCGATTTAATAAAAGTAAAGATTTAGGCTACTAAATATATAAATATGATAATAATGCCAAATGTTACCATTAGAAATGTGCGATCATTTTCATTTCAAGTTGATAAGACTGCGATCCGCTGACCTTACAGTTTGGGTGATATTGCTATATAAACCGAGGACTTATAATGAATTGAAGCTGATCAGAGACGTTTCTTATGATCTGTAGTATACTCTGGTTTCTCTTCAGATCGTATAAATCGTTCGCCTTTTGTTAAAGGTTTTCGTGGAGAAGTACATTACGAGTATCAACTAATTTATTGATGGCCGATCTACCTATTCTTATTAATGAAAATGTTAGGTAGTTTGGTGAGAAGGAGGTATATGTATTCCAACCAGAGTTTTATACGGTATGTCTGCCTATTCAAATTGTCGCCATGCTTGCATTTAAATATGTAATAGTATGTAACATTATTATATATTAATATATTACATCATATTTAGAATAAATGTAAGACACTATTTAGAATCATTCCATATGACACTGCTAGCATTCAAACAGGATAATGAAGGCTGCATTGTCCCCATCACTGGATCAATACATGACGTAAATAGATTCCCTCTTTAGGTTGGACACAAAAGTCCTGAATCATGGTAGACACACAAATCAGTGAATGCAAAATACTGATACAAAAATAAAGGACTTTATTTCGAATTGTGAATTGATTTCATGTTTCCACAATGATCAGTCATCGAAGTTTACTATGATGGTATCACAGCGTTGTACAGCTTTTGAAAGGATGCATATCAAGAAAGACAATGAATGGGAAAAGCCTGCACTCCACTGTTAGTATTTCAATAGTAGATTATTAACAAATGACTGTAGCGTAATGTTACAATCTTGCACCAATGATAGGCCTACATTTGTCTGGCAAAAGCTTAAATAGTCTACTACATAAATACAACAAATACATAGCACACTGTTTTGCTAACGATGATAAAAGACTGACCCAAGCAAAACAAATTGCATCAAGGGGGAAATGAAGCAATAGTATTTCAGCTGACTATTTATAAAAAGGAACTACTACAATAAGAGTAAGCAATACATTAGACTCCAAGATAATTTAGTTTGCATAACAAAAATAATGTCAAAATCCTAGTTACTTAGTAGATACAGTTAGTAGTTACAGCCATTGGGTTTAGAAACTTTTTTTGGTTTCATGTTGCTGAAGATGTAGTTTCAGGTTGTCCAGTTTTGATCACATTAAAATGACACAAACATGTTAACTTTTTAAGTGTCCACACTCCTGGTCCTACATCACATGTTTCTGTCCAGCTCGGATTGCATGGACAGCTGACCCAGTTCACCAGGGTGGGTAGGCTGCAGTATTAAGTTACACTCAACACCCTTCCCCTCTAAGCCTTCACAGCCCTCAAACTGCTTACACATTCACCAGATCAGCTCTATAGGCCCCTACAGGTGGAAAATACAAGTGTTAGTGTAAATGTTGTGTAAGATGATCATGTGTTCAGGTCTTGGGTTCGGTGATGTGTGGTTATGGTCCTGGTGACGGTGTGACTCCAGACCTGTGGTTGTGGTTGTGATCTGGTCAGGCTCAGATCTCCTGGAGCAGGTCGGCAGGGAAGAAACCCAGCTTGCGGCCGGTGCTGACCTTCAGGTAGCCATTCACCTCCTCTCCCTTCTTCACCACGATCTGCAACACAACACAAAGAGAATGGAGGACGGTGTTGTGGCCCCACAAAGGTACAGTAATTGTTGAAGATGACCAGACCAGTGGTGTAAAGTACTTAAGTAAAAAATACTTTAAAGTACTACTAAAGTTTTTTGGGTATCTGTACTTTACTTTACTATTGATATTTTTGACAACTTCTACTTTTACTTCACTACATTCCTAAAGAAAATGATGTACTTTTTACTCCATGCATTTACCCTGACACCCAAAAGTACTTGTTACATTAATTTTGAATGCTTTGCATGACAGGAACATGGTCCAATTCATGCACTTATCAAGAGAACATCCCTGGTCATCCCTACTGCCTCTGATCTGGCGGACTCACTAAACACATTCTTTGTTTGTAAATTGTCTGAGTGTTGGAGTGTGCCCCTTGCTATCTGTAAATAAAAATAACAAGAAAATGGTGCCATCTCATTTGCTTAATATAAGGAATTTGAAATGATTTTACTTTTACGTTTACTTTTGATACTTAAGTATATTTTATCAATTATATTTACTTTGATACTTACGTTTATTTAAAACCAAATACTTTTAGACTTTTACTCAAGTAGTATTTTACTGGGTGACTTTCACTTTTACTTGAGTCATTTTCTATTAAGGTATCTTTACTTTTACTCAAGTATGAAAATTAGGTGCTTTTTCCACCACTGGACCAGACACACACATGCACAGTAGCAACTGTCATTACAGTCACTGTCCACATGCACACATCCATCCATACTGCTCATGATCATAAAGCAGCTGACATCAGTTTCCTATGCAAAGAAAAACTAAGAAACATATTATTTTCATAGACACAGACAGCTGACCTGGGTCAAATACTTGAGCTGGGCTTGATTCAGCGTGCCCAGTAATAGCTAAATAAAGCACACCTCAATTACACTACTTTCAAGTACTGTATGTGATAGTATTTGACCCAGGTCTGATACAGAGACACCTGTTTCTTACCTGGTCTTTTTTCAGTGTTATCTGTCCCATCTCTCTGTTTCCCACGACAGAGCGCGTCACCTTGTACACCCTCTCTCCCGTTTTTATTCTAATGATGTAATTGGTGGGGAGGTAACCTGTCTTCTCCCCAATCTTCCCCTGAGAAATAAAAACAGCCCTTATTTACGATGGTGACAATAGAAAGTAGAGCTCATGATGAGTAGAGTCATTACTAGTTTTGATCATTGTCAGCTTGCATGACAATTTTTTCAGGAACACTTACCCTCCACCATTCCTCATTGGCATCATCAATTATAGTGATTCGATCACCAGGACTGAAAGACACAAAGGTTTGTATATTTGTATCAAATTGTATCAAATGTTTCACATTACCACAAGACTGAAATGTTGGACATAAAACATCATTCATACAATATAAGGAAATGTATTGGTTAACCCACTGGAAGTCAAGGTCGTCTTTCTCAATGGCCTTGAAGCGGTACAGAGCCAGGTAGTAATGTGACTGATTTCCAATGTTTCCCATCTCCTTCTTTTTCTGTAGCAAACATACACCGATGTTTATTTAACTACTAATTGTATTGATGTACCAGACAGGGTGTTATTATTGATATTTACATGGTTAGTGTATACATGATGTCAGGCAGTTACAGTCCCTTACCTTGTCATCTGCTTTGTCAGCCTTGTCTCCTTTCTTATCCCCCTCTGGCTTTCCTACAAGCACATCACACAGGGTCATTGTAGAGTTTCAATACAACAATGGTCAACTCCTCAACTTTAGAACCAGTATTACATTTATTCTATGTTGCTCCTTGACATTCAGTGTAAGATATTTCTTTTTTGAAATTGTACTGGATTAGTCTGGTAAAAGGTTGACATACATATATTGTTTAGCAACTGCTTGACAACCAACCACCTCTTATGCTTCGGTTCATTTGCCATTCACTTTGATGGGCTTCAATATCATAAATAAAACACATTGTTGTAAATAAATAAAATTTATTTTTGTACAGTTGATGCAGTGGAACCATCACCTTGAATTATCACATGCTTCAATATGGATGCTTCATCCTCTTTCAATACCTTCTGCCTGCTCGTCTGCTTTGGGTTGTTGGGATTCCTCTTCCTCCATCATCATCATCATCATCTTGGAGGGGGAAAAATATGGTTAACATACTATTTATGATCCCTATGCAAATGGTTGTCAGTAAATGTAACCATTATCTGGACGACTTATCGTCATTAATTTCATCTTTTGGCTAATATGTGCCATGGACACAGAGTTCCACACTCACATTCTTCTTGTCCTCAGACCCCTTCTTGCGCTCCTTGTTTGCCATGACGACCCCAACCCGCAGGGTGTCAAACACAGGGTCGTTACGGTTGGAGTGGGCTGGACAGGAGGGAAGCAGCAGAGAGAGGACACATAGTAAAAAATAAGTTGAACACTTAGCTTGTTGAGATGGTTAGTGTCTTACCTGCATCTGGCTGGTCACTGCTGTACAGAGGGGAGCTGTAGGCCCGTCTGAAACCTGGGGGCTATAGGTGAGACAACAATATGAATATGTAGAATAATTGCTGTTTCTGGCAACTGCATGCAATGTCAACTTGATCATGTTCTGACATTATAATGACTATCTAAATGATGAATTGAAAATGTCTTACAATTTTGCCAAAGCACTTCTGATACTCAACATAGGACTGGCACGAGTGGTGGATGTTGGTCTTGCAGTTTTTGCACCGTAAAGCAAACTTGTTGTTGACTGAAAGGTTGAAAAAAGTCAACTATTAAGAAGCTAGTCAGTATTATTAAGCTTCAGCTTTACAAATACTATTAATAAATACAAGAGCCACTGTGGTCAATGTTAAAACTTACGGACTATCATACGAGCACAGACGTCACAGAACTTGGGTGTCTTGCAGTAGTGATCCTTGAACTTGTGTGGTTTGTCATTCACCAATATAACAACTGGCTCAGGCTCAGGCTCCTTCTCCTCCACTTCCACCTCCTCCTCATAAATAAAGTATACCTGCAGAGAGAGTGGCTATGTCTCAATACTTTTACTGGTAGACAGCTTTCCTTCCTTTCCCCACCCTAGTGACTACTGATTGGATTGGTATATATTGGATTGGATTGGTTATATTATATATTTCTTAATTCCATTCTTTTACTTTTAAATCAGTGTGTATTGTTGTGAATTGTTAAATATTACTGCACTGCTGGAGCTAAGAACACAAGTATTTCGCTACACCCGCAATAACATCTGCTAAATATGTATGTGACCAAGAAAATGTTTTTTGATTTGATTTGATTTAGCTAGAGGTAGAACATTTTTATTGAAATCCAAAGAATCAGTCTCATCAAAACAATGATTTCCTATAATTGAAAAGTCCACATGATCGTTATCTATAACATACAAAATGTTTTTGCATTAGTTAAGTAAATTAGTAAAGTTTTCATTTAACAAGTATTTAAACTATTATTTTACTTCTGGAGAGTACGTATAGAATAGTATAAAAGTAATCCTTCTACCCCCCCCCCCCCCCTCCCCCACACCCCCACTTGCTATCATAAGTTGAATGCACCAATTTGTAAGTCGCTCTGGATAAGAGCGTCTGCTAAATGACGTAAATGTAAATGTAAGTGGTAAATGAAAAAAGCTCTGTGGATTTAGCCCACAGTGTCACCTTTCTGCAGAATATAAATAGGGGAGCAGAGAGCCTCACATATTAAACTAATGAGGTTACTGTATTTTGACCATCCTAGTTGGCTGCTATTTTAAACTGTTTGAGGGATGGTGTTCCCAACAGCGGCAGATTGGCATGCTACTCACAGTATTGTCTTCCTCTTTCACAATATTTTCAGGGGCTGTGGGGTTATCGTGGATATCCACAGAATGTTTATCTTCCAGTCTAACACAGAGAACCAAACAGAGACCATTAAGCAACATCGACAAACAAAGATATCTGACATATATTTAAGAGCGGATATTGCAGTAGTATTGTAATGGTGGCTGAGCTTAAAATGTTCCCAAGTTTTACATGATTCTTTCAATTAATAATCTAATACTTAAAGCTTTCCCTCGTTGTTTTGTTTAGAACCAGGTAAAACTATTAAAAAGGACTATCCTATGTATTGAGTTCAGCGACACAAGAGCAGACTCACTGGTCATATTGGGCCATGGTGTAGTGTGGGAGCTCTCACCCTCGTCCTGCAGTGCTACCCACCTAAGACAGAATACAGTTTAGGGGAACAGAAACACTGGCTCTCCATTTGAATGGGACACGTGACACAATCATGTCCTCTCCCCTCGCATGTAGTAACGGGGGGAAGGGGGAGATGATTTACCCACACAAGCCTACACACACACACAAACTCTAAAATACACACGTCCACTCTACTATTTTGGGGCAGGGTAACTCAATCTCATCATGGCTAAATGTGGGTGCCTTGCCAGACTGGGCATGAGCTGAGAGATTCTGAAAAATTACGATGATATAAGACCAGAATCAGTCTTAGTGAGGATTTGACATTTCAGTCCCCTCTCAATGAAACTTAAAGAATTTGCTATATATCTAAATTATAACATGTATGATATCTATTTAGAAAAACACAAAGCTGAACAGATCACACATATACACAAAAAAAGGGGCATGCAATATAGTTACAATTTAGACATACTTATTCCTACTGGTTGCTAGTCCAGTCAATGAAGAAATTAAATCTGGTATGTGGATGTATGGAAAAGGCTTTCTTCACCAGTTTTGATTCAGAGTCATTCCTTTCATGTGTGATGAGCAACCTGTCACGACGGAGGCCTCCGAACCATTCCAACTCTTGATTGATATTTCCCTTTTCAGCTATTCTTTGTGCAGGTAATTTCCAAAGAGTGATCCAATAGTTAGTGGTTAGAGCAGAGGGGTGAGTGAGTGAGGGACTGTAAAGGCAGGAAACAGTTTGAGTGAGTGAGACAGCTGGGTAACTTTCAGGGCACCGATGACGAGGGTAAATCCAATACTAATACCCATTCCTTGGCCCTGCAGATCGGTCATGGCTAGAAGGGATCCAGCTTTTGTCTAACTAAAATGGAGAAAAAAAAATTCAACTTCCGATGTTAATTTGACAAAAGCTGAATCCCTTCTAGCCATGACCCTGCAGACCCCTGTCACAACCTGAGAGGACAGGTCAAGACACACACAGCCTACTGTTGGCTTACTGTACAAACTGCAGGCATAATCAGTATTGTTATGACAACAATAATTATATTTCTTTGGAAAATACTGACAAAGGAATGGAATGGAAATAGGCTATATTTATCTTTATTGTACTGCCAGGCATTTACAATACACAGTGAACACCACATATACCATCTCATATAAAACCCTTAGCGGTTAAAATCCTTATTAAAAATTTAATAACATTTTAAACATAAAGAAAAACTTGTAGTTTATATATAAGGAGAGGATCAACATAATATATTAAGAAAAAGTACAGTATTATATTATGGAAGACTGATGGTAGTGGAGGTAGCTAATCCATGGATAAAAACAAGATATTCTACAAAGGCCTATTTTTTTGCCCCAGCCCAGTTGAAGAACAGAGAACCATGGCCAGTTTATTCTTCATCTGGGGGGTCGCGTCGGCTACCACTACAAAGGTCCGGTTGCATTGTGGGTACAATAGTCCCTCACCGCCCCAGTGCGCATGCTCCATAGAAAACTCCATTATTTTTTTGCACGGAATCTGCAAGAAAAATACTAACTGTGAAATAGAGATTAAAAGGTGCATCGGATGAGCTCCATTTTTGCTGAACATACACCGGCTTGATCGAACAGTGTCTGGAGATAACGACTGAATCATTTGGCGACACGATCGGACATCCTTGGGTCTTGGGACACTCCAGAATCAAGTAAATTTCTGTCAATGCTAGCTAGCCATCTAGCCTAGCCCCGAGATCATAGGCGCAGTAAAATGAAGCATTATTGCCCTTTGTTTTTAACCAGACGGGCAGATGCAGCTAGACAGACATAGAGTTGATTGATGGCGCAAATAATTTGCATTGGAGGGTTGATCACTATATTTGCTGTCTAGATAAGGTTAACCTCCAAAACAATTTAGCATTAGTAAGCCAGCTAGCTAACTCTGGGGTTCTCCCGCGAGCTTACAGGAGAAGACTCCAAAAACTTCGCGACCTTGTTTGAGAACAGAATGGTAGAATACATTTCGCACAATTGCTCGTTAGCTAGCTAACTAGCATGCATGACATCATTGATAAACACATTTTCCCCAAGTTCTCATTATTGAAATGTTGCTATTTTGCAAGGTGTGTCTGTCAAGCTGTTACGACACTTCAGACTGCAACATTAGCTAACTAGTTGGATAAAGCTAGCCTAACTAGCTATGTAGGACCATCATTGCTGTGACTGTGATTTATGTACTTTGTGTGCCACTTCTGTAACGGCTATATTATGCATGTGGGCTAGATAACTATTATCAAGTTACAACTGCTGATTCTCTTTTAATTTCAACATCCAGCTGCACACACCACCAGTCTCATGTAGCTCGCTAACTATCTAGGTAGCTATTTGATAATACGTCACTTAATTGAAATAAATACCACTAGGCCTATCCTAATATGCATCCCCTTCCTCGTATGCTTGTGTGGGGTTATTGTAGCAATCAGAATCGAGAGATGTATTTTGTTCAGCATTTTCACTTATTATTTTAGGGCTAACTAACGTTAGGTCTATCTCAATCTTCTTTGCAGACAAACTGTGGCCCTAGTGTCAGCTGCAGAGTTTTGGAGGAGGTGACCTCTGAAGCAGGGTCAGAAGACTTAACGTTAGTTCTTGGAGAGTTCTGCAAGGCGTTGGAGGGTGGTTGGCAGAGTCTGTGTGTGCTTTTCCCCTAACACCATGGCCTTCAAACGGTGGATACCATAGCCAATAATATATTTGGCTTTTCAAAGATGACAAGGTATGCTTGAAAACATGATATCCTTCCTCACTCATCAGGCTAGCCCAATAACGGACTAAAAGAGCCTAACGTTACTCCTTATAGTCCAAGGACCGTACATGTTCTGTTTAAAGGCGAATTGACTCTGGCAGCCAAAACAGCAAAATGTTCCATCTAAACGTGAATCAATTCTCAGTTGCAGTACGGTTCTAGAAACATAATGCCCTCTACTTTCATATCACATCAAAATAATTTCACAAATGCAAAATATACACTTACTGTACACTGTTTTAACACTGTTGCAGCCAACAGTATTTTTCAGTGACAACAAGTTTTTGGCGTCCATCTTCCATTTACACAGGTGTTCGGAGACGCAGATAGCTAATTAGCACAGTTGGTCGACTCTGTTTTCCGTAAACAGACGCTGTAACATGGAAATATGGCAGTGTGGGAACCCCAACCCTATAAAGGTGTGTAGTAATTTTAACCTTATATATTTTTTTTTTATATAATAATGATTTCTAACTGATATGAAAGATAAGTTATGTTTTCAAAACCGTACCGCAATTGATGCGTGTTAACGTTTAGCGCAAGCGTTGGGGTTCTTAAAAAAATAACCTGGCCAGAAGATACTATCCTCAATAGGCGCTAAAGGTAGTTAGCGTCTATGAATGGGCTATCAGGCATGCTTTATGTTAGAGACTTTATATTTGTTTCTACGAGTTGGAACTCTGGTTGTGTTTTTGGTGGGAAAACATTGATGTCAGAATCTCAGTACAGTGGTCGTAATAGTAGTTAATCAAAGCATATATTAATTCTACATTTGTTCCCGCATCTTCTATCCCAAAGGTGCTGCAAGGCAGTTTTTACAAAATGATGGGAGGCAGTGAGAGTGGCAGTGGAGACAAGGATGGAGTCCACACTGTGGCAATACAAGTCCCCATTGGCTGGCAGAGGAGAGCAAAGGATGGGCTTGTGGTGTATGTCAGGTAAGCAAGTTCAGTAACACAGACGGGTATAATACTTTTTATACTTGTGTTATGAGCATATAAGAGCCATTATCATGTTGTTTTCATTTCCCAAAAGCTGGTCTGGAGCAGGGAATTGTAAAATATATTTTATTTCCCCTTTATTTAATCACTAATCTCCTGCATCCCTGTCCATTCCTGCAGTCCAAGTGGCGCAGTCCTGTCTTCACTGGAGGAGGTTAAGTCATATCTGTTGACCGATGGCACATGCAAGTGTGGCCTGGAGTGTCCGCTGGTCATCCACAAGGTATAGTAGACCTAACTCCTCCCTCTACATCTCACTTTTATCGTCTCACATCCGGTTTTGACTGGGGTTTGCTGAATGTATGTCCCTTTATTGTCTCTGCAGGTGTTTAACTTTAGCCTAGGGGTCAAAGTTCAGCAGCACAGCCAGCCGGTGGGGAAGGCAGAGCAGGACATGACAAAGCTCTGTAACCATCGGCGGAAAGTGGTTGCTATGGCAGCGCTCTGTCGCAGTATGCAGGCTTCACAGCTGCCCAATGTTGCCCGTCACACAGGTAAATACAGTGCCTTCAGAAAGTATTCACACCCCTTGACTTTGTCCACATTTTGTTGTTACAAAATGCGATTATAATGGATTTAATTGCCATTTTTTGTCAATGATCTACACAAAATACTTTAATGTCAAAGTGGAAGAAAAATTCTAACATTTGTATAAACATTTTTTTATATTAACAATAAAACACTCATATCTTGATTAGATAAGTATTCAACCCCCTGAGTCAATACATCACCTTTGGCAGCGATTACAGCTGTGAGTCTTTCTGGGTAAGTCTCTAAGAGCTTTGCACACCTGGATTGTACAACATTTGCACTTTTTTTTTTATTCTTCAACCTCTGTCAAGATGATTGTTGATCATTGCTAGACAGCCATTTTCAAGTCTTGCCATATATTTTCAAGCCGATTTTTAAGTCAACACTGTAACTAGGCCACTCAGGAACATTCAATGTCGTCTTGTTAAGCAACTCCAGTGTATATTTGGCCTTGTGTTCTAGGTTATTGTCCTGCTGAAAGGTGAATTTGTCTCCCAGTGTCTGTTGGAAAGCAGACTGAACCAGGTTTTCCTCTAGGATTTGACCTGTGCTTTGCTCTATTCTGTTTCTTTTTATTGCAAACATGATGCATGTTTTGGAATATGTGTGTTCTGTACAGGCTCCCTTTTCACTCTGTCAATTAGGTTAGTATTGTGGAGTAGCTACAGTGTTGTTGATCCTCAGTTTTCTCCTATCACAGCCATTCAACTCTGTAACTGCTTTAAAGGCACCATTGGCCTCATGGTGAAATCCCTGAGCGGTTTCCTTCCTCTCTGGCAACTGAGTTAGGAAGGACACCTGTATCTTTGTAGTGACTTGGTGTATTGATACACCATCCAAAGTGTAATTAATAACTTCACCATGCTCAAAGGGATATTCAATGTCTGCTTTATTTGTATTTTTACCCATTTACCAATAGGTGCCCTTCTTTGGAAGTTATTGGAAATCCTCCCTGGTCTTTGTGGTTGAATCTGTGTTTGAAATTCACTGCTCGACTGAGGGACCTTACAGATAATTGTATGTGTGGGGTACAGAGATGAGGTAGTCATTAAAAAATCATGTTAAACACTATTATTGCACCGAGTCCATGCAACTTATTATGTGACTTGTTAAGCAAATGTTTACTCCTGAATTTATTTAGGCTTGCCATAACAAAGGGGTTGAATACATTTTCACTTATTGAAACATTTAGAAAAACATAATTTCACTTTGACATTATGGGGTATAATTTAATCCATTTTACATTTGGTTTGTAACACAACAAAATGTGGAAAAAGTCAAGTGGTGTGAATACTTTCTGAAGGCACTGTATCAGCGCAAAAACCCCAGAATAGATCTAATGTAACAGAAATGAAGTACTTTCAGGATCATTAAACAGCTATTGATGGTTAGTTACCAATTTTTTACCATTGTGCTATTCAAATATTGCTCTCAGAAATGTAAATAATCATGTTGGTTAGGGCTGTGACGATTATGGAATTTTGGATAACAATGAATTGTCACGCAAATTGCCATGGTTATTGTCATAATTGCCATTTTAGGTGAAAAATGTTTTGAGCTTATAATGTATATTAATACTGCATCTTTGAAAATTAGCTACGACATACCTAATGAATACAACACAGCTTTGGTGACACCCGTCTCAAAAACAAATTGTTTTGACCGCTTGGAACTTTTGGAAAGGAAGCTTCTCCTGACCATGCTGTTTTTTTCCGTAAAATGATTAGGCTACCAACTTCATGTGAAAATTAAAACTGCTATTGGGTAAACTATATATACTTGAAAATAAAGTTGAATCTCACCCCCTACTAAAATGAATGTATTAAGAGGATTATGGTTATTGTCCATAATTGTCGGCTACACAATTATACAGTTATTGTGCCAGCCCTAATGTAGATTTCTGTTGTTGTTTCAGAGGTTACCAGTGGCATTGTGGAGAACAGAGATCCTAAGAGGATGAGAGTGGACAGGGAAGAAAAAGAATGTGGCACTTACACCTCCAAACACCATCTAGTCCAATCCAGGCCCAACACTAACCTCCACCCCAACTCTTGTGGCAGTCCTAAAAATTCTCCCCAACTTGTGTATTCTTACAATGGTTCCTCACCCCTCTCACACAATAGCACTAACTCTTATCACTCTCCTGAGATTCTGAGGAGACTGCCACCTCCTCTCAATCTCCCCCCCAACACCTCTCCATTCTCCAGCTACGGGGCACCTCAGAGGTCCCCACGCACACCAACGCCTCAGAACCTCAGTCAGGGTCAGAGGGCACCACAGACTCCAGAAGCCCCCAGATCTCCTCATATGGGGCCCCTCTCTCCCCCTCCTCCCTCCTCCCCTGGGACACTGGGGAGGGGAGGGCAGAGTCATCAACATGGTATCATTGTTGGGTCTCCCCTGTCCCCCTCGTTTTCTCCCTCTCCCTCTGTGAGTATGAACTGCCCCTCTCCCCGCCAGCGCTCACGCCACCCCTCCGCCTCTTCCTCTCACTCTGAGCAGGGGGTGGGAGGGGTGGTGCTTGGCAGCTATCCCCCCAAAAGGATATCCTCTTCCTCCCCACACTCTCCTATACCAGGCGGGTCCCCTAACCTCCATTTCTCCAAATACAAGCTTGAGGACATCCTAGAGCAGTTTAAGAACTCAGGCAACAGTAGCACTAATAACCACATCCTTCACCCAAACTCACTGAGCAACCAAAACAATCCTCAGATCCTCTCTCTAGCGCTTGAAACGGTTGGGAAGCCTACAAAGGCACCTGCTTCTGCCTCAGGCATGGAGATCAGTGCTGGTCCTTCTGGTTTGCCTCTTGGACAGTTCTTGAACCACCAGAAGCAACCACACCCAGCTTCTTTTCCTGCCAGTAGCCTCCTTTCGGCAGCAGCCAAGGCCCAGCTGGCCAGCCAGATGACCCACAACCAGAGCTCCAATTCGCGCAGCATCCTCAGCTCTGCCCTCTCTTTGGAGGTCTCGAGGGAGTCTCAGCAGTCGAAGGTAACAAACAGCACTTTACAAAACAGCCATCCCTCAATCGCTAGGCCCCTCCCTGCAGCCTCCCCCCTGCTTCCCCACCCCTGCGCCCCCCTCTCCCAGCCCCTAGCCTCCAGTCCCCTTCACATCTCCCGTACGGACCGGACATCCCACAGGAAGCGGCAGCGGCGTTCGCCCACAGTGTTCAGCATGCTGAAGGAGTCCCAGATGAGCGGTCCCAGAATCCCCAGCAATGTGCTCAACCTTTCCTCATTGCACTCTCAACCCTCCTCTACCTCAGCCTCGCCCTACCCCGCTATGTTAGAGAACCACCTACAGGCCCTAAGGCTCTCAGTCCGGCACTCTGGCACACTCTTAGGGCCCCAGAAGCATCCTGATGGCGCCCTGGACTTCACTACAATCATGGCAGGTCAACCGGATCCCCCGACACAGCCTCTCTCCGCACTGCTTCACCTGCTCAGTGTGCAGAACGCTCAAGCCGCTGGAATCCAGCCCGGCTCTGGACACGGTACAGGAGGCATGAGGCAGAGCCCCAGGCAGTCTCCCTCTCCCTCCCATTTAAACATCAGACCATTCCCCATGCAGTCCCCCTCTCATCACAGTACCACGCAAGGCCCGTCACAGCCTCTCTCTCCCTCTCAGTCAAAGTCCAGGCGAGAAAATGCACAGTCTCCGTCTCGACCACATACGAGGACCAGTCCCAAACAGAGACTGTCTCCCTCCATGGCCCCGTCCAACGCTCAGTCAGCACACTATCGCAGTAGCCCCTCGCCCACCCCACACACCCCTGATAGGCTATGGCAGGCCCAAAACCAACCTATGGATGCCACCACCATCCAGTCACCCATGGGCCAGGCCTTGCCTGAAGTCAGTGAATCAATGGAGATGGAGAGCATGTCAACACTAGGCCCTGGTCTCAACAGCACCCCCACCTCCAACCATAGCAGCAGCGTCACCAGCTACAGTAGCACCACCTCCCCCAGACCCCTGGATCTCAGTAACCACATGCTGGCACTGCTAGCAGCCTCTTCCACCACACCTCTGGGGGAGGGGGGCCTGGACAGAACCACCGGCAACAACACTGCAGGTGAGGATGAGCCTTTTATAATGTCTCTAACTAGGTGAAATCATGGAATATAATATGTTGTATTGTCACATACACCGGATAGGTGCAGTGAAATGTGTTGTTTTACAGGGTCAGCAATAGTAGTACCGCGCCCATGGAGAAAATTAGGTTAAGTGCCTTGCTCAAGGGCACATCAACAGATTTTACACCTTGTTGTCTCGGGTATTCAAACCAGTGACCTTTCAGTTACTGGCCCAACGTTCTAACTGTTAGGCTACCTGCAGCCCTAGGAAAATACATAGATTTTTCATTAGATGTGTTAATAGTTGTTGAGTACTGTGCGTTTAAAAAAAGAACTTTCCTCATTCCGTTAATCCTGGTTCTCTCTAATCCTCTCTAGGGGTGCAAGAGCCTCAGAGTGTTGATCATCAGGGCCCCACAGTGACCAAACCCCCAGGAGGCTGTAGTCCCGGCCCCTGCAACCCCCCGGCCCTGGGGGACTCCACTGGCTCCTTACCCCTTGCTGAAGCCTTCCCCTTCATGAGCCAGGAGCAGCTCCTCCAGCTTCTGTCGGCCACGGCCGGCCTGCCCTCCCTCCTGGACCCCACCATCCTGGGCTCTCTGCCCCTGGGCCTGTGGATTGGCGGTCAGCAGGGTCACCTCCCCATCTCCAACACCCTTCAGCAAAACCATCAATTGCCCGATCAACAATCAGAACAACAACTACTGTTACAGCATGAACAACACCAAGAGCAACAACAGAAACAACAACAACAGACTGCCCATCTGAACCACAACTTTCCATTTAGCTTATTCCCCTGTCTAATGGGAGGTCAGGGAGAGCTGCCTCTGAATCTCCTGGGCCTGTTGAACCCATTACTACCCCCCTCTGCCTCCCCTACCCCAGGCCAGGAGTGTGATCTGGGGATGGGGGAGAAACTGGGCCTCCAGGCTCTCCTCATGGCCTCCCTGCTACTAGGCCAGCAGCAGGCTGCAATGTTGCCCCTGTCTGGGCTTGGCCAGCTGAGCCTGGACCTCCCCTTCCGGCAGCAGCAGCACATCCCAGCCCTGTTGGATGGTTTGACTCTGGATAAAGGGTCTGGACTCCTGGACCCGTCGTCCCTCCCTGGCCCCGGGCTCCTTGAGGCCCTCCAGGGCCTGTTTCCCCCAGCCGAGGGGCCCCTCCAGGCCCTGCAGTCGCTCCTGCTCTCTGCCCCCCTGCCTCCCCCAGCCTTCCTCTCCCTCAGCCCTGATCTGCTAACCGCTGCCCTGGGCTCTACTGGCCTCCCGCCTGCCCCTCAGCTCCCCCCAACACAGCAACCCCAACAACCCCCACCTCCGGTAGGTTCTCTCCCTGAGCCTGGTCCTCCTACCCTGTAGTTTCCCCTTGTCAAAGAGTTAATACTTTCTGTATTAGAGATGTCAGTCTGATGTTTTGATCCTGTCTCCATCCAGGTGTCAGCTTCAGGCCCTGATGGGGGGATGGACACCCTAATCCCCCTGTCTGTCCAGGGAAAGGACAACCCTGTCCTCCACCAGTTACTGCCCACTCTCCTCAACCCAGGGGTTCTAGGTTAGTCACAGCAACATTCATTTACACTGCTATAAATATCAAGGTTTTGTTGCCTATTACACATGTGGAATCATAGTTAGTATTTTCTGTTACATTTCACTCTATGAATAGTGAATTATTTACAAACTTGGGGAACATCTACAACAAAGCTATATCTTGTACATTACCCACATATTGCTTAGAATGTAACTTTATCCCATTCACAAACTGTTTTGATGATGAACCATGTGTCTTTGTAGGAGACCTGTCTGCTCTGACCAGCCTCCACAGTCTTCTGGGGCTAGGTGCAGGCCCTCTCTTCCTGCCCCCCGTACAGGCCTCTGCCATGGGCATGCCTTTGCTCCAGGGCCCTGATGGGGCCATCAACCTCCTCAACAACATCCAGGTACTTGTTGTATTCCACTTTTTTTTTTTTTTTTTCATAGTGGGGCAGTCCCACTCCTTTTGTTATTTTTTTGCTTTATTGAAGGGAGAGTAAAATGTTGGAAAGGCCGGGGGAGGGAGGGGGACTAAAATGGCAGTGGGACGGATTCGAACCAATGCCTACTCTGGCATACATGTGTGCCGGGGTCAGAGGCTGTAACCGTTGGACCAAGCAAGCCACTGTATTCCACTCCTGACACAAGCCTTGTCCTGTGATTTGAAATGTCTGTATCTTCCTTCTTCAGCTCAACATGGCACCGCCCTCAGAGGGAGAAAAGCCAATCTCCTTACAGGAAACAGACAGTTCCGCCCCTCTGGAGGATATTCTAGCCAATCGGCTTACCCCAGAGACTGTGCCCAGCCCCTGTCCCGCCCCGGCCCTCGTGTCCCAGCGTGGAGAGGGCTCCGTGGGGAGCGTCCTGGACCCCTATGCCTCCTTCATGGACACTATCTACACCTCCTTCCTCCAGGTCAGTGCTAAAGAGCAGGAAGCAGTTCAGTCTGGGGCGGATGCCTTCTGTGCCTTACCGCCCTCCTATCCTGGGGAGCGCCGTGCCTCCTCCGCTCCCCTCCCTCAGGCCAGTGCCCCCTTCTCCCTGAGCCCCCGGCAGGCCTGCACCCTGAGGAACCCAGACCTGTCCCGGCTCAATATGGAGGCGGCTCACTCCCCGGCTCAGGGTACCCCCAAACCCAGCGACGATGGCTCCACCACACCCCCGCAGAGCAAGTCGGAGTTCCCAGAGGGTCACACTAACCCTCCTCTGCCTCCCATCTACCTGGAGGAAGCCAAGACAGACTCGTACAGCCAGGCTGTGTCAAATCGGCAGGGGGACAGACCCCAGGCAGGGGGGTACCAGAGTCCCAGAGACGGGGGCAGCCACCCTAAGGAGGAGACAGGGGGTCTGCAGCACACGGAGCAGGGCAGGGTGAGTCTGGCTGCTGTTTCCTTTAGTTGGTTGTCCTGATTTAAACACAGTCATAAAGGATCCCTAAAACCTTCCTCCAAGCCCTAAGGATGTATTTTTTAAAAACTACTGCATGGCTAAAAATGCAAATCCGCCACAATATTGCGTATTACATTACAAGCAGTGAAAGATGTAATTTGTGCCTTATTGATTTCAGTGCCCTTTTTCCCTTTCAGAACCAAACTGCACAAATGGGGGGAGCCAGAAGAGGCAGGAAGAGGAAACAAACGTGAGCTAGTTTTGGCACCGATTTACCATTCTGCCCATCTTCTCGATGGCACTTATAACACTGCCACTTTTCCTTAGAACAATTAAATGTAATACCAGTGTAAATATACTGATATTACTGTGTGTGTGTGTGTTTTTCAGGCTACAGAATGTGCTAGAGGACTTCAGAGAACTGGATGCTCCTGCCCTAGAGGAACCTAAACCCACGGTAAAACACTAGACCACCCAACAACCCTTAACTTCATTGGACGTATTATATCAGTGCGTGTTGCGTCATCTCAGTTTCTAACAGCAGTGCAATTTGTCCCTTAGTGTCTGCCGTCCAGACTGCTAATGATGATGTGTTGTGTGTCTGTTGTAGGTGGTGCTGCTGAAGCCTGAGAGGTCGGTCCGGGGCAGGAGGCGGCGGGGAGCCAGGTCCCAGAGACAGTGACAGTGACTGGAGCAGGTTCATCCAACTGTTTCCAGGACTTCCCCAACCCCACCCCCCATCACTGCTTTATATTGTCCAAGTTCCCCACTCTGTTTGTCAACTGCACTAATATAATGTCATGCCAACCTCTTACCTATTGAATGGGAGTGATCTAGATGAAAAAAATGAAAAAGAGTTATGTGGATGCTTTCACTTAGGTCCTCTCTTATGTATGTGTGGTTGCTTGACGTTGTGATTGGTTGAGATCCGTTATGATGTAAGTGTTAGAATTATGTCTACAAAAGACTGTACTGTTTCTCAGTGTGTTTACTGTGAGTCAGGATAAGAGTATCTATTTAAATGACCTACATTTGCGCTCTGTTTGAGATTGTATGATGTCTGTGTGCGTGTGGTTTGTGTACAAGGTAGAAGTTGCCCCTGACCACAGATCTAGAATCACATTTCCTAGGCGGAGCGAGTGTTTTTATCAAGAAGCAGATGAGTTAGCCAGCGACGTGTCCTGCCTAAATAATCTGAAGTCACATTTTCAAATTCATAAAGATGGATGTGAAATTGGCATGACTTGACACTTCCAACAACCCAGATTCAAGATGAGCTTTCTTATAGAACCAGCTCTATCTGGTGGTCATGCTTTGTGATACACCCCTCTGTATGTTCTCTGTGGGATGTTTAGTAAATGATGCACATTTCAATTAGGTCCTTTCACAGGGGAATGGCTGATGGAAAAAGTGTGAGATATGTGTGGGTTTTTAACTCAGTGTATTTTTTGGTGGAATATAGTTGTATACTTTCTCTCATTGTTCTTCAGATGGCTGTGCTCTACACTTTTACAGCCCGGTAATGCTGGCATATCTTACTTATTTAAATGAAATGAAAAGAAGCAGATTATGCAATTTCTACACTTGGAGATGTGTAAATATGTACAGTTAATGTGTTTTATTTTGATTTTATATTGTTAGAGACAACAATGAATTGTGAATTTTCGGGGAATTGTAATTAAGTATTTTCTCATTCTACCCTTGCTTTCAATACTTATGTTAAAAGAAGATTAAATTGTTGACTGTAGCATTCTTTTTATATGGGAGTCTTTTTTTATTTAATATTAAACTATTTACAGAAAGTGTGCCTCCTTGTTTGTTGATGTTGGCAGCCTAAATCTACTCAATTGTATCTAGCCAGTAACCACCCTCTTATTTGCAAAATCATACTTGTTGCATCAGACAGTAGAAAAGGCCAGGAGCCCAAACTCAGCTTTTGATCAATACATTGAATTCCTTCCCATTGGGGATGTGGTGAGCCTTACATTCTAGGGAAGAATGCCTTCCTAGGGGAGAGAAGAAACAAATCAATTTTTATTTGCCACATGCGCCGAATACAACCGGTATAGACATTACAGTGAAATGCTTACTTACAAGCCCTTAACCAACAATGCATAAAAAAATATATATATTTTAATAGTGTTAAGTAAAAAAAATTAAAGCAGATAAGGTGGCGCAATCAACATCTGACTCATCTCCGCAAACCATGGAGCCCCTGGGCGATCGGGGGCTATCAATATTATTGACAGCCCTCCTGATCTCACCCTGGCTAACAGTGGGAGAATGCAGGACAGCAGAGGGAATGCATACAGAAGAACTCTAGGCCACGGGTGGTGCGCAAATGCGTCTCTTCCCAGTGGCGGTTTGTCCTGTTCCCTCAGAGAGAACCATAGGGGACATTGCGTGTTCACACAGTTCGGCTCTCCCGAACTGTTCCCAAATTTTGAGAACAATGTCCGGATGCAGACACCACTCGTCGTCTCGAGGGCCCCCTCGCGACATGAGGTCTGCTCCTACGTTCAAGTAGCCCGGAATGTGTGCTGCTCTCAATGAGCGAAGGTGCTCGTGAGCCCACAGCCACAATTCCTCTGCGGCCCGGTGGAGAGCAGGAGACCTGACTCCTCCCTGGCGATTTATGTGAGCTACTGTGGTCCGGTTGTCTGACCAGACCAGCACATTGCGACCCCGAAGGGTAGACGCGAAGTGGGTCAGAACTAGTCGAACCGTTTCCAACTCCAAGAGGTTGATGTGGCGACTCGAAAGAGGCCACACACCTCCTATCGCTTGGGTCTGACATGTCCCTCCCTATCCAGTCAGAGAGGCATCTGTATACACTGGAATGTAGGAGGACACTTTGCCTATCGGGACTCCGTGCGTGAGAACGTGCGGGGTTCTCCAATAGTTCAGATCTGCACTGAGCGAGAGGGGAACCACCACCAACCGATGACGTTGACGCACTGGGTCTAGTCTTAGTGGGCGAACCATCGCTGCATCCTGCGCATGTGCAGGAGTCCCAGCGGAACCACAGAATGGGCTGACGACATGAGACCCAAGAGTGACATGATCGACAGCGCCGTCACCGTGTGATTCGGACGACACTTCTTCAAGGCTACCCTTCGAGGGTCCGAAATTCGAGCCCTCATCATTACAGTGTCTAGCTGTATCCCCAGGTAGACAATCTGATGACTGGGCCAGGGCGCTCTCTTTTTCCAATTCACAGCGAACCCCAGACGTGTGAGATGAATCACTGTCTGTGTCATGTGAGTGAACGCCAGCTCTGCTGACGGGGCGAGAACCAGTAGGTCGTCTAGGTAGGCTAGTAGCCTTATTCCCTGACGACGCAACACTTCCAATGCCGCCTCCACACACTTGGAAAACGTGCGAGGTGTCAGGGCGTACCCGAATGGCATCCTCGTGTATTCGTACGCCACCCCTTGAAAGGCGAATCGCAGAAACTTCCTGTGACGCGGCCGTACCGGCACATGAAAGTATGCGTCCTTTAGGTCTATGCTCGTACAAAAGTCTCCTTTCTGGACACATTCCAGTAGACGTTTTGTCGTGAGCATTCGGAAGGGCCGTTTGGTTACGCTCTCGTTGAGAATGTGTAAATCCAATATCGGTCTTTTTGGGCACCAGGAAGTAGGGTGAATACAGCCCTTTGTTCCTTTGCTCCTGGGGAACTACTGTGACCGCCTCCTTCGCCAAAAGTTCCGTAATCTCTGAAACCAGTGCGGCCACTTTTTCGGGCGTTTTCATCACCGTCTCCACCACTCCCCTGAATGGGGGTGGGGTCCGATGGAATTGGATGGCATAACCCTTCTGCAACGTCTGGTCTAGCCAGCGTGAGAGGGTACAGCTTCGCTGCCACTGCCAGCAATGCAGAGAAAGCGGGCGAGCACAAAGCTGTGGTACATTCAGTAGGAAGGACCTGTATTCCTCTATGGCCCTTGCCGCCGCTGTTCCCCAACACTGAGGTGGTGGAACAGCCCAAGGCGGGCCTCCCATGAAAGGGAGAGGAAACATCAGTGCGTTCTGAGAGAGACGGGGGCGCAGATACGTTGGTTAAACCCGTAACCGTCGTATTCCGGCCCTCCGTGAACGCAGCATGGGTCTGAATCGCCCTAACAGAGACCTTAGTCTGAGATAGTGCGCCATCCCCAAATAGCGGTTGCGTCATCCTGTCAGAGTCTGACCGAGACTGCAGCCTGCTATGTGAGACACTCCTTATACATGAAGTGCTGTCTATACCTACCCTGTGTGTCTGTTCAGCAACGCACCCTTGGTGGGCTGAACGGCACTCAGAGTGGTAAGAGAGAGAGGGTGAGATATGAACGCTCTCGGACGTATTATGGAAAAGGGGCTCTTTTTTGACAAAGTCAGGTGGAGCCAGCTCTTTATTACATACATCAATGAAAGCAACATCATCACCCATCCCTTCAACTGAAGGGTGGGGGTGAACAGTGGGCACGTTCGACATCGACGTGTCCTCCATCCACTCCCCCGCGTCCCTTCACGTGCGCCTCCTCTTGTGGCCCCCTTTCGGATGCCAGGTCGGCGTCTTCACGACTTCTCTTGCCGGCTGTGCCATTGGGGCCACTGTGGCTGCTGGGGGGGCGGAGTCCGCTCTCCTGCCTCCTGTAGCCGCCAACTGGCACCGGATACGCCGCCTCGCCGTAGACCCTGGTCTACTCTGGGCAGCGGAAGTGGACGGCCTTTGGGACTGGGGCGCAGGGCCTAACCTCCCTGCCAGTGGCAGGTGTCTGGCCAGCTGCTTATTTTCTTCATCCAGTCTTGAAAACCTCTCTGTCGCCTCTTTGACGGCGACTCCGAAGAGCCCGTCGTCAGAGAGGGGGGCGTTCAAGAGCGACGTCCTGTCTGCCTCTTTCATGGTCGTCAGAGACAACCAGAGGTGTCGCTCCGCGACCACCGAAGTGGCCATGGACCTTCCCGCGCAGACGGCCGAAGCTTGTGTTAGGTGCAAGATGGCGCCAGAAATTCTGGACGCCTCCTCCACCTCCTCTGGTTCCAGCTCAGTCTTACCCGTGGTTAGACGGGACAGAGCGGCTGCCAAGAGGGCAATGTTATTTGCTGCTGCTACAGCCTGGGCTCCCAAAGTGAAGGACTTCTCCAACAGCTGTGCTGTGAGGCGGTCCTTCTGCGATGGTAGAGTGGCCTTCTTGGAAGAGGGCCAGGGACTCGAACCCGGTACGAGATATGCAGCCATGGCGCTCTCTAACCTGGGGATTCCCTTTGAAGGGCCCTGAAATCTTCCCTCCACTCTAGTGAACGGGAGTTACGACCTAGCCGGCGAACGCGCCGCTAGAGGTGCCTCCCATGAGCCCTCGACATACTTGGCCAATGAGGGCATAGCTGGAGCCAGTGGCTCTGCCGCTCTCCTTGGCCGGGAATAAGGGCCGCCCTCCATTAAATCTACCTCCGGTGCGGAGGGAATAGGGGGCAGCGCTATTTCCTGGCAGCTCTCTCAATGAGTCCGGGAAGACTGTTCCATAGGAACGCCCGCCTCCTCCTCATAGTCCCTGTCATCTCCAGAGTCTGCGCCGTCTGATGACGCCTCTGAAGCAGAGGCTAGAATCGACAGCACGTCCTCTAGAGGAATATCCTCCCTAAAAAACGCCCAGCGCTGCTTCCTCTCCTTTATATAAAGGAGGGCGCAGGAGGCGCAGTTAGGGGGACTTCTGACGCCATCCTTGGCATGCTGAGACCCTGGGGTGAGCTTTTGGGGGTGGAAAATCTCCAGGTGTGCTCATTCTTGGACGACGTCGAAGATCTGGACATTCGACTGCGTTTTCTCGTCCTGAGTCTTCTCTTCGTCTCTTCTTGGCTTCTTCAGTCTAGTCCAGTCGCTGAAGATAAAGGGAGGCTGATTGAGGGGAGGCATCCCCTCTTATAGGGACACCTGTACTCCTATTGGCTGCAGGTGTGTGCATAATTTTGTCTCAGGCTGATGCTGCCTTAGGGCAGAGGGTAAACCAATAGGAGCAGAGCTCCTCTATGGGGCGGAGCTCCACGGTATAGAACTGTACTGTTTCTCAGTGTGTTTACTGTGAGTCAGGATAAGAGTATCTACTTAAATGACCTACATTTGCGCTCTGTTTGAGATTGTATGATGTCTGTGTGCATGTGGTTTGTGTACAAGGTAGAAGTTGCCCCTGACCACAGATCTAGAATCACATTTCCTAGGCGGAGCGAGTGTTTTTATCAAGAAGCAGATGAGTTAGCCAGCGACGTGTCCTGCCTAAATAATCTGAAGTCACATTTTCAAATTTATAAAGATAGATGTGAAATTGGCATGACTTGACACTTCCAACAATCCAGATTCAAGATGAGCTTTCTTATAGAACCAGCTCTATCTGGTGGTCATGCTTTGTGATACACCCCTCTGTATGTTCTCTGTGGGATGTTTAGTAAATGATGCACATTTCAATTAGGTCCTTTCACAGGGGAATGGCTGATGGAAAAAGTGTGAGATATGTGTGGGTTTTTAACTCAGTGTATTTTTTTGTGGAATATAGTTGTATACTTTCTCTCATTGTTCTTCAGATGGCTGTGCTCTACACTTTTACAGCCCGGTAATGCTGGCATATCTTACTTATTTAAATGAAATGAAAAGAAGCAGATTATGCCGAGCAGTTGCCATACCAGGTGGTGAGGCAACCAGTCAGGATGCTCTCGATGGTGCAGCTGTAGAACTTTTTGAGGATCTGAGGACCCATGCCAAATCTTTTCAGTCTCCTGAGGGGGAATAGGCTTTATCGTGCCCTCTTCACGACTGTCTTGGTGTGTTTGGACCATGATAGTTCGTAGGTGATATGGACACCAAGGAACTTGAAGCTCTCAACCTGTTCCACTACAGCCCCGTCGATGAGAATGGGGGCGTGCTCAATCCTCTTTTTTTCGCTGTAGTCCACAATCATCTCCTGTGTCTTGATCACGTTGAGGGAGAGGTTGTTATCCTGGCACCACACGGCCAGGTCTCGGACCTCCTCCCTATAGGCTGTCTCATCGTTGTCGGTGATCAGGCCTAACACTGTTGTGTCGTCAGCAAACTTAATGACACAACAGTGGTCATTAATCCAATCGACAAAAACGTTCACATTTGAAATTGTAACATAATTGACTTAAGTCTTCGTTAAATATGAAACCTTTCATTTATCTATAGTTGAATCAAGCGATTGATTCCATAAGACGACATAGGCCTACGTAAATAACGTGGTGATGCTGCTGATAGGCTACATCCGGTGTCTGGGTGCTGAAATGGATGCTGAGGCGGGTACCACTTTAAAGGGAAGAGCCAGACCACGCCCTACGCTCCACACAGGAAAGCAGTCTCACCTTCAACCGGCCTGACCATCTGACAACGACACATCTGAGAAAAACATCCTTGACTACGTCCATCTTTTAAGATTTAGCCAGAGGAGGAATTCGGCAATATAATCTATCTATTCTTACAATGATGTAACCCATTGCGATTTAAATTAGAATTTATATGCATAGCCTATTTTTGCTGCGACATGCTTGAAGCATCATTTTTGGTCTCTAAATTGTAGTTTTTCCATTGTCAACTGTCAAGCTTTACCTTTGGGTTGAAATATTGTTCAGCCTTTAAGACATAAGTATAAGGACGTTTCTGGTTGCATCTTAGCAGATCAGTCATTAATAATTTTACGGTTGACTGGGCCTGCAAATTGCTTTTATCTGATTCTCGATTAGTTTATTCCAACCCCATCCAGTGAATTTGCGCAATGGCCGATGTAACCGCAGAATGTAATATCAAAGTGTTGTGTCGCTTTCGCCCCCTGAATCAATCGGAGATTCTGCGTGGGGATCAATTTATCCCTAAATTTCAAGGAGATGACAGTGTCACCGTTGGGGTAAGGCGCTTTGTTTCTCATATGCTCATTAATAAATAATTAACCTGTTCTGTTTTCGTTTGGACTGCCAATAATAACAATGATTTGTGATTGAAATTAGGCCCTACCTGATTATTTACAGTCATTATTACTGCGTAGCCTAGCCTGTAAAGGTCAATGTGATTCTATTCAGTAAGGCATCCGTTGAGCATTCAGTGCAGTGCAGTTGGTCACGTTTTATTTACTGCAGTTTCATCGGGCCCCATATTCGATACCAACTTACTTTCCTTGCTTAGGCTATGTATAACACAAATTAAAACGGCCTCCACATACTACAGGCCTATATGGATGATCTACATAGCCTGCCTATAATATTTATTTGATTATCGGAGATGTTCAGGATAAAACATTCAGGCTGCTGTTATTCGTGTTTGAATGATTTGGTTAGTAGGTAATGGCAATGGTACATTAGATGTATGGTACGGGGAATGTAGGTACTGTAGGCACCTTACCAATGCCACGTACATACACCACAGTGTCACTTAGCTTAATCAGTCCCTCTTCAGAGAGGTCTACAAGTCTGAATGGGTCAGGGCCAGGACAGAGTGGAATGAGAGAGTGGATTCATTTAGAGCTTAACTAAGGATGTTAATGGAAACCTTAGACTGACCTCTTCAGTCATAATTCTTAACAATGGGCCAAGAACCTGTTCTCTTATTGCATATGGAGGAGAGGATCAATAATCATTCTACTGATTAGAACTGATCCACTCTCCTCTGTGCCGGACTGACTGCCTCTATTTGGACAATGATTTTGTCATGGGGATGCATCTGTAGTGCTAGTGATTTGAATGGATCATATACTCTTGTTATGTTTTTCTAAAATGATTGACATTCAATGGCCTACAATGCAAGTTTGAATGATCCTCTATGCATTCTGAATGATTTCCCTATTTGAAGACCTGCCGTGTTAAAATTCAGTCTGAGTCAAGCTCGTGGCCATGTGTCATCTGCTTCAGTCAATGATAGCCTATATGACATCATTTCCTAAAGGCTTAAATGACTAGCATGTGGCAAAGGCAAAGAGAAAATACAGGGTTGCATTCAAGATCACATCATTGTGAAATGATTCTAAATCTTTTTGGTAGCACTGACCAGATTAAATAGTATGTCCTCCAAGCTCTATCCTAGGACATTTTGGAAACAGGATTATTTCTGTACGGTTTTGGTTTTGGTCCTTATTGTCTCTGGCCTTTTTTCATCTGTTCCTTTCATTTATTCAGTGATTGACAAACATATATTGTCTATCACTATCTGTAAATAAGGAACCAAGAGCAAACTTGATTGCATTTCCATTGTTTGTTTGTTTGGGATATACAGTATAAATGAAATATCAATGCTAATTGGAAAGAAAAATGGAGACAAGAAAATGTCCCTCATTATATTCCTAGTCAGTATGTCTAGGCTCTATCTGGCTTCATCTTGGTCTGTGTATTCTAAGTTATACCTACAATTTTTGGTTTACAAAATGACCTAATCTCTTTGTGTCTCCCAGGGGCGGTCTTATGTGTTCGACCGGGTTTTTCCCACCAACACCACTCAGGAGCAGGTCTACAATACCTGTGCTAAGCAAATTGTCAAGGGTAAGGACTAGATACTGTCAACAATGGCAGAACAACATCCACATGCAGTCTATAGAGGTGTATTAGAGAGATAAAAGAGAAGTCGACATGGGGTTCTGACTCATCAATTGATTAAATCAGTCGGTGACATCACACAGTATTACTTGCTGCCTTTGTTTCCCATAACTGTGTTCATATTAAAGGTTGTTGGTGTCTTTCTTATTTTCAAACTTGAAGGCCTGAAGAAATTCTTTAATTTGTATAATTTCCTCAAATTATCTTGGTTTCCCTCTGTTTATATAGATGTGCTAGGTGGATACAATGGCACTATTTTCGCATATGGACAGACCGCCTCTGGCAAGACTCACACCATGGAGGTACAGTGGGAGTCATTGCAATGATGAAAAAAACTAATATACATCATCCAGTATTTTAAAATACTTTTTATCTTCTGAAAAAGTGATGATCTCGCATTATGAAATAACTCCATAAATCAGCATAAATATGGCTTCAGTTTGGTTTCAATCAAAGTGTAATACCCCAGATATTGCTTTGGGGGCATTTGTACCCCATCTAGTAAATAGTATTGGAAAAACACTGCTAGTAATGATATGAGGATTTTAATATTCATACAATGTATAACAGGTATTAACCTCCCAAACACCAGAGACTGACTGCATAGTGTGTCTTTCTAGGGAAAGCTGCATGACCCCAATCAGATGGGCATCATCCCCAGGATTGCAGAGGACATCTTCAACCATATCTTTGGCATGGATGAGAACTTGGAGTTCCACATTAAGGTTTGGGTTCATCTCCATCTCCTCATCCAAATGTTGGATGATTAGAGGCTTTCTATGAGTCATCATCCATTAGTATACCACAATGACTCAGTGGCAATAAGTATTGCTCTTACATGGAGCCACAGCATGTTTGACCTTTGATTGTGATTATTTTCTCTTTTCTCTTTCCTCTACTAAGGTTTCATATTTTGAAGTCTATATGGACAAAATTCGGGATCTTTTGGATGGTTTGTACACAGTTTTTCTAAATGTTATTTACCAAGTCCACATCCAATGCCATTACTGAGCCAAATCTTCTTCAAAGACTGTCTGCTCTAAAGGTTATTTCTTTCTCTTTTAGTGACCAAGACTAACCTGGCTGTTCATGAGGATAAGAACAAGATCCCATATGTAAAGGTGGGTTTACTAAGGCCAACTATCACTAACTACACCAACATCTGTTTATAACTGTGCATTAGATTCTACAATAACAAAGGAGCATGCATATTCATTATTAACCCTTTATTATCTCACTCCTCTATCATCCCTCCCCCTTCCCCACTCCCTGTGATGTAGGGTTGCACCGAGCGCTTTGTCTCCAGCCCTGATGAGGTCATGGATGTCATTGACGAGGGGAAGAACAACCGCCATGTAGCGGTGACCAGTAAGCCTTCAGAATGTTTCTTTCCACCCCTATCCATCTAAGCAGATATCCAGTGCCGTGTTTTTCTTCTAGCAGGAGAGTTGCATGGTTAGTGAAGTGTATCGTGACAGTTGGGCCATGTGGCTCGTTATGGCTTATATAACATTACTTCTTCCCACTTGTATTCTACTTACAAGCAGCATCTCTACGTATATGGAGGACCTTCTCAATTACAAGGGTCCAACTGGGTGTCTGCTGGCTAATGTAATGCTGACTCACTGTAGCATAGTGAAAACACTGTAATGGGCTCAGGTCTGCTGATATTGAGTTCAATAAGATAGGAGCAGCTAAACAACATGAGCCCTTATTCTGGGCACTGTAGGTTGCATCAGGAGAAGGACGCCGATATTGGTCCTATCCTGAAATTGTTTTTATAGAGTACATTGCGTACGCTAATTTGCATCGTATATCAGTGAGAAACTTGCATTATTGATCCAGAAAAGCATTGATTCTGCCCATCAAAATAAACAAAACACACGTAAATCCCTTTATACACTGTAGGCTTATATTGTGCGAAGATGCTCATTCGACTCCATGATGTTCTCTCTCCTCATAGACATGAATGAGCACAGCTCTCGCAGTCACAGCATCTTCCTGATCAACATCAAGCAGGAGCACACGGAGACAGAGCAGAAGCTGTGTGGGAAACTCTATCTGGTGGACTTGGCTGGTAGTGAGAAGGTAAGACCTGTCTGTCTGTCTGTCTGCCTGTCTGGTTTACCTGGCTGGGCTAAGGTGAGAGAGACTATGGACCACTAAAGCCATTGTAGCAGCATCGGCAGCAGCATTTCTCATAATCAAGAGATGATGTAGGTCCCCTGTAGCTCAGTTGGTAGAGCATGGCGCTTGCAACGCCAGGGTTGTGGGTTCGTTTCCCACGGGGGGCCAGTATGAAAATGTATGCACTCACTAACTGTAAGTTGCTCTGGATAAGAGCGTCTGCTAAATGACTAAAATGTAAATGTGTGTTCACACAGTGTGTGTTCATACAGAGTGCTAAACGGTGTCTGGAGTGATGATCTTCTGTCGTCAGGCTTGATGATGTGAATCACCATCACACTGAGAACCTAAAACACACTGCAGGAATGATTATTGCAGGCTGTTCCTGTCAAACCACCAAAGCTTTCTTTATCAAGGGCAGAGTTTGGTCTGGTAAACCTAGCCTTAATGTTAATGTATGTATGGAGCTATGTCTTCAAGGACACTGGCAGATTTGAGTGACCTTTCCATGGGTCATTAAGTCACAGTCAGTAATTCAGTTTCTCCATCTCTCTCTCCCTCCCTCTCTCTCTCTCTCTCTCTCTCTCTCTCTCTCTCTCTCTCTCTCTCTCTCTCTCTCTCTCTCTCTCTCTCCCTCTCTATTTCTCCCTCTCTCTCTCTCTCTCTCAGGTCAGCAAAACTGGTGCTGCGGGCGCCGTACTTGATGAGGCCAAAAACATCAATAAGTCTCTGTCCGCTCTGGGCAACGTGATATCTGCTCTGGCTGAAGGGACGGTGAGTCCAGTACACAGCCGTGCACCTTACTCATCATTCATTCCAGCACCTCCAGACCCTCCACACATCCATCAGTATCAACTTACTGCACATTCATCTCCAAGCCACGATGCCAACCCAACCCATGGACCTGCTAATGAAAGCTCACCCCCACACAACTCTCAATGCCAACCCAGCTGAAGCCTAGTCAATGCCAACTCACCACACACCACAATGCCAACCTTCTCCTGACCTTACTCTGCCAGCAAGGTTAACTGAATGCTGCATTCGTACTCCTACTTGCCTGTCTCTTACTCACTTGATCTCTTCTTCCTCTGTTTTGTTTGGCAGAAAACTCACGTGCCATACCGTGACAGCAAGATGACCCGTATTCTGCAAGACTCTCTGGGGGGAAACTGTAGGACCACCATGTTCATCTGCTGCTCCCCCTCCAGCTACAACGACGCCGAAACCAAATCCACCCTGATGTTCGGACAACGGTAACAAACACTCAGCCCACTCTGTCTTCTCCCTACATTGACAATGTACTCATTTAACAGGTTCTACTCAAAAACGGCCAATGTGTTATCATGTCCGTAGTCAAAGGATTTTGCATACAGTATTTCCTTAACCCATATTCATAATCTCTTGCTCCAGAGTAAATATACAGTATATACTGTATAATCCTGTATTATATTATAACCAATATAATGAATCAAATATGTGACTGCATCATCATGGCATTAACCCCCATACCCTCTACCTTCGCAGAGCTAAGACCATCAGGAACACGGCGTCCGTCAACCTGGAGCTGACGGCCGATCAGTGGAAGAGGAAGTATGAGAAGGAGAAGGAGAAGAACAAGACCATGAAGGAGACCATCCAGAGGCTGGAGGCTGAGCTCAACCGCTGGAGGAACGGTTAGACTTACTGAGAGATAAAAGAGTTTACTGGAGTGAACCTTTCTATAGGTCATAATTACATTCCTAGTTTATTACATTTGTTTCTTGTTAATTACTGTTTTTTTTCACAATGTTGATTAATTTACAGTCTTAATATACTTTGCCTTGCAAAATGCTTGCCTTGCATATTTTTGATATGCCTATAACTCTGTTTACCTAAGGTTGGGAGCAAGGCACATTGTGTCAGCACACTTACACTACCGGTCAAAAGTTTTAGAACACCTACTCATTCAAGGGTTTTTCTTTATTTTTACTATTTTCTACATTGTAGATTAATAGTGAAGACATCAAAACCATGAAATAACACATATGGAATCATGTAGTAACCAAAAAAGTGTTAAACAAATCAAAATATATTTTATATTTGAGATTCTTCAAATAGCCACCCTTTGCCTTGATGACAGCTTTGCACACTCTTGACATTCTCTCAACCAGCTTCATGAGGTAGTCACCTAGAATGCATTTCAATTAACAGGTGTGCCTTGTTAAAAGTTAATTTGTGGAATTTATTTCCTTCTTAATGATTTTGAGCCAATCAGTTGTGTTGTGACAAGCTAGGGGGGGTATACAGAAGATAGCCTTATTTGGTAAAAGACCAAGTCTAGACAGATTAATAGGAAGTCCATTCTCTTAAGAGCTGACATAGACTGCTGACCCATCATCTCCTTTCTCCATCCTCTCCACTCTTCATGCTCCTCCAGGGGAGAACGTTCCTGAGACGGAGAGGACCACTGCTGACGTGGTGCGTCTGGAGTCGGTGGAGGAGCGGAGCCCCATGATGATCCTGGACAACGACACCTCCTCCATTGTGGTGCGCATCTCCGAGGAGGAGCGTCAGAAATACGAGGAGGAGATCCGCAAGCTCTACAAGCAGCTGGACGACAAGGTTAGTGCCTGTTCAAACACACACATGTACGCAAACATACACACTCATTGGAGGGTATGGATATATACACATGCACACACTGTATACAAAAACCCCAAGTAGACCAGTATCCTTAAAAACAAACAGTACAGTGTCCTCAATTGATTTCCACCAGTAGACCGAGTGACCATAGTGTGTGTGTGTGTCTCCACAGGATGATGAGATCAACCTGCAGTGCCAGTTGGTTGAGAAACTGAAGGAACAGATGCTGGGTCAGGATGAGGTGAACACACTCTGTTCCCCACTCTGTCTGTATCTCTGTCCAGGCATCTCTCGGCCATGCAAAGGTCTTATTCACAAATGTATTGTGATACAAATCATGATGATCCTGAATCTAAACATGTTGATAATATACAGTATAATGGTAGAATACAGTGCTCTTTGTGTTATGGACACTAGGGGGAGTAGTGGTAGAGGTGACGTTTAATGGGGATTCAATGTCAGTGCATGTGCACAAGGTCTATACAGAAAGTAGTAGAATTATAACCAAGCAAACAAATAGCCTGGAATCCTTTCCATATCCTCCACAAATATATGTGATCATCTGATACATTTGACTGTATAAGCCATTTCCAACCCTTTCAGTTAGCCGGCAAATCTCTTTCAATAGATCAGTTGTCATGGCAGCAACAGGGATGACTCTGTGCCAGTTCTAAATCTAGGCCATCTGTGTGTGTCTTGTGTGTAGTTGTGTGTGTGTACTGTGTGTGGTTGTGTGTGAATATGACTTATATTGTGTGTTGCCTGTGTGTCTGTGTACTGTGTTCCTACATATGATCATGTTTGTGAGGCTGCGTTTATGTGATCGTCATCTCTCTCTGGCTCTCACTTTGTGTCTTCTAGCTGCTGGCATCTTCTCGTGGGGATGGGGACAAGGTGCAGGCAGAACTAGGCCGTCTGCAGGTGGAGAGCAACTGTGCCAAGACAGAGGTGAAGGAGGTGCTGCAGGCCCTGGAGGAGCTGGCCATCAACTACGACCAGAAGAGCCAGGAGGTGGAGGAAAAGGGCCTGCAGAACCAGCTGCTGGCCGACCAGTTGGCCCAGAAGATGGTGGGTCAGCAGGGCATAGAAATACATGACACAGAGTGGACACAAATTCTACTATGAACTTATATAAAGTCTTGTATGAAGTCTATATGGTCTTTATGGATTCTTTGCTCTACTTGAAATGACCAGCGATCTGCCAACGTGGTGGCATAACTTAGCTGACATTTTTGTATAAGTAAATCTGTAGCCTCTGTCTCTCATTTATTAATCTCATCCCTCTCTGCTTCCATCCTGTCTCCTGTGCAGGCCAGTCTGATGGAGCTGGAGGCGGAGCTATCCCACATGCAGGAAGTGAGTGGTCAGCAGAGGAAGCGCATTGCTGACGTCCTCAATGGCCTGATGAGGGACCTAAGTGAGTTCAGCACCATTGTGGGCAACGGGGAGATCAAGCTGGTGAGTTATTTACATCTCATACTGCTCTCCTCTGGAACTACTGAGAGGTAGAACAATTAGGTAGATGGGTAGCAGATGAGGCTGGTGAGGGGAGGACGGCTCATAATAATGAATGGAATGGAGTGAATGGAATGGTATCAAACACATGGAAAACCAGGTGTTTGATGTGTTTGAGACCATTCCATACATTATGTTCCAGCCATTACAATGAGCCCGTCCTCCCCATTTAAAGTGCCACCAGCCACCACTGATGGGTAGAGAGAGAGGTTTTGTATACAGTATTCTCTTCAGCTTAGGAGCCACCGCCCCATCTTTAAAATCCACCCTGTCCGCCCCCTCTCTCATCCCTGCATCTCTCTCCCTCCATGTGCCTTTCTTTCAATCCCTCTCTCTCTCTCTCTCTCTCTCTCTCTCGCTCTCTCTCTCTCTCTCTCTCTCTCTCTCTCTCTCTCTCTCTCTCTCTCTCTCTCTCTCTCTCTCTCTCTCTCTCTCTCTCTCTCTCTCTCTCTCTGCTGTAGCCGGTGGAGATCAGCGGGGCAATCGAGGAGGAGTTCACTGTGGCCCGTCTCTACATCAGTAAGATCAAGTCGGAGGTCAAGTCCATGGTGAAGCGCTGTCGCCAGCTGGAGAACTTGCAGCTGGAGTGTCATCGCAAGATGGAGGAGACGGGCCGCGAGCTCTCCTCCTGCCAGCTCCTGATCTCACAGGTCAGCCTGGGCACCTCAGTATACAGATCAATACAGATCAACATCACAACCAGCTAGAATGTCTATACTATACACAGCATATATATAAAAATACATAGGGTATGTCGATACCATGTATACATACAGTAGATACACTTTACCACTGCACACTATGAAAACATTCTTCCCTCATGTCATTTTCAAACTTTATAGACTTTGTACAGTTTATAAACTGTATAGATGGGAGTGTAGTGTGTCACGTCAGCTGAGTGACTCTGTTTGGGGTGTTCGCAGCATGAGGCGAAGATCCGCTCTTTGACGGAGTACATGCAGAGTGTAGAGCTGAAGAAGAGGATGCTGGAGGAGAGCCATGACTCCCTCAGCGAGGAGCTGGCCAAGCTGCAGGACCCAGGTAACACATCACTATATACCTGTAACACACCTGTACATACCCTCCACCCTCACATCAGTCAAGCTACAGGACCCAGGTAACACACCTGTACACACCATCCACCCTCACATCAGCCAGGCTACAGGACCCAGGTAACACACCTGTACACACCATCCACCCTCACATCAGCCAGGCTACAGGACCCAGGTAACACACCTGTACACACCATCCACCCTCACATCAGCCAGGCTACAGGACCCAGGTAACACACCTGTACATACCCTCCACCCTCACATCAGTCAAGCTACAGGACCCAGGTAACACACCTGTACACACCATCCACCCTCACATCAGCCAGGCTACAGGACCCAGGTAACACACCTGTACACACCATCCACCCTCACATCAGCCAGGTTACAGGACCCAGGTAACACACCTGTACACACCATCCACCCTCACATCAGCCAGGCTACAGGACCCAGGTAACACACCTATACACACCCTCCACCCTCACATCAGCCAGGCTACAGGATCCAGGTAACACACCTGTACACACCAGACCCAGGTAACAGAGCTGGACACATCATCCATTCTCACATCAGCCAGGCTGCAGGACCCAGGTGGAAAAAAACAGATCTTATAGATCTCTCTCTATTTTACAGATAACTCTCTGCTTGAAGAGAAGGATGGAGAGAAGGGTGAAACCGAGGAGGGTAACGTCAAGGTAAACATGCATTCCAATAATGCTAATTATGTCACCCAGTAATGACTGAAATAAAATGAAACTGACAGTGTGATTTTCCTCATTGTGTGGTGGTTCAGAAGGTTCCTCGGCAGCAGGGGGAGTCTCACCGTGGTCTGCACCACAAGCAGATGGCCCGTCTCCGGGATGAGATCAACGAGAAGCAGAGGATCATCGATGACCTCACTGAGTCAGTGTCATCAAGACTACTGGAACCCTCTACGTTTATGTGCCATTGATGAGATAAAAATAAAACAATGATGAAAACATTCACTTCACTTTAAAAACCTTGAACACTCTCTCTCATTAAACATGATATTATCTGTCTCTCTCTCTCTCAGCCATAACCAGAAGCTGCAGATTGAGTTGGTTCAGGTGCTTGCCGACTTTGACCATCTGAAGAGCGTGGACAGCAGCAAGAGCGAGCGGCTGGAGGAGCTGTCGTAAGTCTGAACACACACATTAACACACGCACACACGCAGACACACACTGACACAATGTGAACTCACTTCACAGTTTAACAAAGTTAAGAAATGTGTTCTGATTTTTATGTTGCTGATGATGATGTGTTTCCTCTTCCTGTCAGATTTCTACATGAACGCCATGAGCAGACCAAGCAGGACCTCAAAGGGCTGGAGGAGACCGTCGTGAGTGGCCCTCTCTCTCTTACCCTCCTTTCTTCTTCTTTCTCTCCCTCATTCCCCCTATGTCCCTTTTCTTGCCCCATCTCCCTCTTTCTTCTCTCTCTGCTTTAACTCCTCTTTTCTGCACCTTTTCCCTATTTTTCCTTCTTTGACTTATTTTCTTCTACATCTTTGTTTTTCAGGCCCGGGAGCTCCAGACCCTCCACAACCTGCGCAAGCTGTTCGTTCAAGACCTCACGTCGCGGGTTAAAAAAGTGAGTGAGAGATGGAGAAAGAAAGACAGAATATAACCCTATTAATCACTATGAAGGGTACTAAATCCCCCTTTCCTCTCTCTCTTTCTTTCTCTCTGTTCCTCCTTTCTTTCTTACACAGAGTTCCGAAATGGAACCTGATGATAGTGGGGGGTCTTGCACCCAGAAACAGAAGATTTCCTTTCTTGAGAATAACCTGGACCAGCTTACAAAGGTTCACAAACAGGTGAGAGCCTCACAGGATAGTTGTGTTGTCTGACTTGTTTTGATGAAGTAAAACCTTACTGATCACACTAGAAACCTCTCTCCTGCTCTAAGTGTGAACCCATGCCATGATCCTACATCACAAACTAGCATCGTCCCTTTCCCCCTTGCACAGTCAACTCTCTACCCTTCCCACTGGGCACAGATGTCAATTCAACGTCTGTTCCACGTTGGTTCAATGTCACTTAGTTGGAATGACGAGGAAACAACGTTGATTCAACCAGTGTGTGCCCAGTGGGTTTGCTCCTCTTGGCTCTGTTCCACTCACTCCTTTTTCACCTCTTGTCCTTGTGCTGTTTTGTGTGTGTGGGCATGGATGTGGGTTTGTGTGTGTGTGTGTCTTTGTGTGTTTGTTTCATGGGTTTCTGTTGTTCTTGTTATTGTTGTTGTGTGTGTTGAGAGCACTCCCTGCAGGTGATGGAGTGTTACCGACAGGTACAGGCCCTCGCTTCTCCTTCGCCTCCATCTCTCAGCAGTCCTTGCATCCCTTTTTCTTCTGTATATTTTCAACCTCCAATTTCCCTCTACTTTGGGCACTATCCTATCACTATCTAAAGGGACGCAAATGGCTGGATGCTTCCTTAACACTCATTCTTTGCATGCAATTATTTTAGTGAATCTGAGAGATGTTTGAAAGAGAGAGAGTTTGAAAGAGAAAAAGAGTGAGTCTTATGTGAATGTGTGTGTTTGTTTGATGCAATACTCACAAAGATGTTGTCATGTGTTATCTGACTGGTTTTGAGCTGTTTTAGTCTGGCATGAACCAAAAGAGGAGGAAATGTTTCACAGTATATTTACCTTTGAATGATATCATGATTTTATGCTAAGGAAAAGAGAGAAGAAACATTTAAATTCAAAATACTTCTGTGATACAAGATATTCAGGGGACACAATAATATTGAAAGAAAACTTGCTCATGTGGGTAAATTTAGCATTTGGGGAGTCATAAACGCATAGTTTTATGCCAAGCTCAGTCTCCTCTCCTTCCCTGTTGTTAATGCAATCTCTCTTTCCCCTTATTACCCAGTCTCATCCCACCCCTCTCTTACATTATCAACTCCCGATCAATCAATATTCCCGGCTAGAAATCTCTCTTCCCTTGTGTCACTCTTATTTATTTTCTCTCTTCCTCTCTCTTCTCTCGCCCTCTCTCTCTCTCTGTATTTATCTGTAGCTGGTTCGTGACAATGCAGATCTGCGTTGTGAGCTTCCAAAGTTGGAGAAACGTCTTCGGTCTACTGCTGAGAGAGTTAAGGCCCTGGAGACGGCACTGAGGGACGCCAAGGAGGGTGCCATGATCGACAGGCGTCGCTACCAGCAGGAAGTGGACCGCATCAAAGACGCCATGAGAGCCAAGAACACTCTGAGACGCCCCCATGCTGCACAGATCGGTAGGGCAACCACAGCAAATACAGTTCAACTGTGATGATGTGTTATCTGTTTGTGGATGGAGAGCTTCATAGACAGTCATTGATAAATATAATAAATTGTTGGAATGACACAGAACATTTTGAAGATAAGATAGGTGCTTAGACATGGGTCAAATATAGCTATTTGAAATAACAGGTGGTATATAAAAATATTAAAAATAACAATTTACCTCTGTATTGTAATATTGATTGGCCTCTGTGTTACTGTCATCCTGCAGCCAAACCAGTGCGACCGAAGCAGCTGCCAGTGTGCTCTCCTACCAACCCGTTCTACACACATGTCAGTGAGCCAGCCAACACCTACAGTAATGCCCTGTTCCAGAGCGCCATCACAGAACAGACCACCGTACCTAACTCTCAGCTCAGCTCCATCCAGACAAACATGTGAGTTCCATCTCACACACTCATATTTATATAGATCAATACTTTAAATAAATGTAGCTTTGAATAGTTTACTTGTATTGATGTGTTATTAGATAGACTTAGGAGTGACTGTGTTCTATTGTCTATTTTGAGCAGAGTGTCCACAGCACTGGGCTACAGAGCAGTCAACCCCACAGACATGCTGGAGTCCTACCCACTCAACATAGACAGGAATAACGGTGAGTCCCAGAGCCATTCAGTTCACCCATCACCCACACCAACAGTTCTGGTTTTTACTGTATATTTCATTTTACAGTGGCTAAAAAAGCTTGTAATTAAGTAATTGATTGTCAGAAAAAAAATTATATACACACTAATTCTCACTATTCCCTGTTATATTCATGAACAGGAAACACCGTAGACATCAATGACAACAGGTAAGCATATCAGCGCCTCAATTGTGCATTACAAAGAAACTAATATTACTACCACTTCTAACTCTGTTACTCTATTACCAGTGGTGTAGAGTACTAAAGTAAAAATACTTTAAAGTACTACTTAAGTAGTTTTTTGGCGTGTCAGTACTTTACTTTACTATTTATATTTTTGACAACTTTTACTTTTACTTCACTACATTCCTAAAGAAAATAATGTACTTTTTACTCCATAGATTTTACTTGACACCCAAAAGTACTCGTTACATTTTGAATGCTTAGCAGGACAGGAAAATGGTCCAATTCACGCACTTATCAAGACAACACATGGTCATCCCTTCTGCCTCTGATCTGGCGGACTCACTAAACACAAATGCATCTTTTGTAAATGATGTCTGAGTGTTGGAATGTGCCCCTGGCTATCCATACATTTTAAAAACAAGAAAATGGTGCCGCCTGCTTTGCTTAATAGAAGGAATTTGAAATGATTTATACTTTTACTTTTACTTTTGATACTTAAGTATATTTAGAACCAAATACTTAGACTTTTACTCAAGGAGTATTTTACTGGGTGACTTTTACTTTCACTTGAGTAACTTTCTATTAAGGTATCTATACTTTTACTCAAGTATGACAATTGGGTACTTTTTCCACCACTGTCTATTACTACTACTACTACCAGTGCTACTTCTCCCACACTACAGTACTGAATAGTGTAGTGTGTGTCTGCAGGAGTGATGGGCACTGTAGCAGTGAGGTGGAGGACCCAGGCAGACTGTACATCATTCAGCAGGAGACTGCTGCAAGTTAATGCCATGGTAACTAACACGTACTCACACAGGCGCACACACACACATTAACTCTCTCATCACATGCATTGTTTACATTCACAACAAATGATGTAATCAATATACATGTTGAAGGGTGAATTACTACTCCCCGTTTAAAACGCATCTCCTAATGACCTATTTCCTTTTCTTTCCACAGATGACCAAATACTGTATTCAGGACCGCTCCCATATATTTGCATGCAGCCGTCAAGCTTCCCTCCCCCTGCACCCATACATGGCCACTGATTCCCCCCTGTAGTCCAAAGCTCAGCCCCATGCTCCCAATGGCGACCACCCTCACGCTCCTGTGATTAGATATACTCCTGTAGAGGTATACTCCTGTAGAGGTATTGACCAGCACTGTTTCTGTGTATGTACAGTTCCACTTTACTCGACAGTGGCATCATAATGCTGACCTATAGCACCGTCATAACCATGCCCTGGCACCTCTCCTATAAGACGTTATGCCAGCTTACAACAAAGGATCTCACTCTGCATGTTGCCCAGCTAGCTGAGTAGCCAACCTAAATCTGTGCATGTTTCATGACAGTGTTACTCAATTTGCTATAAACTGTCATGAACCACCACGGTGGTATTGACAGATGTCATGTAGAGTTTATGATGCTGTTGTGTTAGCTGTATGATGTCATTGTCCAGTCAGTACTGAGGCATGTGTAACTCAGCCATGCCCTATGCCCTTTAGAGTCTAACCCAGCCTTAATAATAATGACAACTGATTTCACATGATCATAACATGCAGTCATGTGTGTACATATATAGAAGTACAGTATCTGTGTATTTACTACCTCTAGATCTACTGATACAACTTATCAACTTATATAATTATTTCCAAACTAATTCCAATATGTTGTTATATTAGTGGATTGTAAGGCAGTGAAGGGAGCTGTTATGTCCTGTCAACTGATTTGTTTGTACAAAGTTTCCTCCTCCTTAACGTCATGAAGTAAGGTATGAGGTTATTGATGAGATAGTCACATCTCTATGTTAAAATGGTGCCCCTTCTACCTGCGCTGTGTAATCTGTTATAGGGCACAACATCATGCCAAACATTTCTCAACCCCTATAAAAACAATGAAGTTATTCAATATACCACAAAACACCATCTGGATGTGTTTTTAAACTGTTTCCAACTGAGCTTCCACCAGTATGGGGTTTGAAAGCATTTTATTTTATTGTAACAGTGGCATGTAAGTAATGGCAGCTGACTAATGAGAGCTTTACATGGTTCTGTGCTCTGCTGTGTTTTCTCAGTCAGAATCCTGATCAGCCAATCAGGACAGAGAAAACCAGCAGCTTCTGGAGCTGTGATTGGGAGATCAAGGTCTTTTGACAAGTACTGTACTGTATAGAGTTGGTTCACAAACTAGCCTGACTGTACAGTGTTGACTTCAGGTCTATCTAACAGACACTATGACCTGCATTTTGGCCTACTAATATCTACAATATGACTGAAACCTACAGCATCTCAGGATCTCTGATTGATAACAGTGTGTATTGGGGCTAGGGCCTCCTATATCTTCCAAATTTTTCAGTAACATAATTGCTCATTACTGAAGAAAGTGATGAGATAAAGTAACAGTTTCAAAAACTCATAATCCCCTCCACTTGGATAAATGAAAGACTGAATTATTTAAAACCAGGCCTGCCCCCGATGATTATTTAGATTCCCGTTTAGGTCATTTTTGGATGTAACAAGTTTGAGTAATTGTACCAGACTGACTTTAGCATATCTAAAATATCTGATAATATTGTTAAACATGTAAGTATGACAGCATATCATTATGCAGTAAAATGAAAAAATTACACACATAATATTACTTTGTTAGGGAACCATAATGTGTACTTTATGTATTTATTTATTTCTGTAGGCCTATATGCTCATTATGTGATTCATCATGCAACATGCATATTTTCGTAGATACTCATTAAAATGTGTGAAATCATTACGTTGTAGTTGGCAGAAATAAACCCTTACAGAAATAAGTTAATTAAAGACAATCATGTCCAAAGAATCATTGTGTTGTGAAAACTTTTGGACCATGTATTGTGTGAGTGAAGACTGTCTGAATGGTTACTGAGTGAGTGCACAATACAGTGCATTCAGAAAGTATTCAGACCCCTTGACTTTTTCCACATTTTGTTACGTTACAGCCTTATTCTAAAATGGATGAAATTGTTTTTCTTCCTCATCAAATCTAAACACAATACCCCATAATGGCAAAGGAAAAACAGGTTTTTAGACATTTTTGCAAAAATATATAAAATCTACAAACTGAAATATCACATTTACAAGTATTCAGACCCTTTCCTAAGTACTTTGTTGAAGCACCTTTGGCAGCAATTACAGCCTAGAGTCTTCTTGGGTATGATGCTAGAATCTTGACACACCTGTATTTGGGGAGTTTCTTCCATTCTTCTCTGCAGATCCTCTCAAGCTCTTGGATGGGGAGTGTCGCTGCACAGCTATTTTCAGGTCTCTCCAGAGATGTTCGATCGGTTTCAAGTCCGGGCTCTGGCTGGGCCACTCAAGGACATTCAGAAACTTGTCCCGAAGCCACTCTGCGTTGTCTTGGCTATGTGCTTAGGGTCGTTGTCCTGTTGGAAGGTGAACCTTTGCCCCAGTCTGAGGTCCTGAGCGCTATGGAGCAGGTTTTCATCAAAGAGCTCTCTGTACTTTGCTACTCTCTCTACCATAACGGCCTGATTGGTGGAGTGCTGCAGAGATGGTTGTCCTTCTGGAAGGTTCTCCCATCTCCACAGAGGAACTCTGGAGCTCTGTCAGAGTGACCATTGGGTTCTTGGTCACCTCCCTGACCAAGGCCCTTCTCCCCTGATTGCTCAGTTTGGCTGGGCGGCCAGCTCTAGGAAGAGTCTTGGTGGTTCCAAACTTCTTCCATTTAAGAACGATGGAGGCCACTGTGTTCTTGGGGACCTTCAATGCTGCAGACATTTTGTGGTACCTTTCCCCAGATCTCTGCCTCGACACAATCCTGTCTTGGAGCTCTACTGACAATTCCTACGACCTCATTATCTTGGTTTTTGCTCTGACATGCACTGTCAACTGTGGGACCTTATATAGACAGGTGTGTGCCTTTCCAAATCATGTCCAAACAATTGAATTTACCACAGGTTACCAATCCAGTTGTAGAAACATCTGAAGGATGATCAATGGAAACAGGATGCACCTGAGCTCAATTTCAAGTCTCATAGCAAAGGGTCTGAATACTTTAATAAGGTATTTCTGTTTTTATTTTTAATATGTTTTGCTTTGTCATTATGGGGTATTGTGTGTAGATTGATGAGGAAAAAAATTAATTTAATACATTTTAGAATAAGGCTGTAACGTAACAAAATGTGGAAAAAGTCAAGGGGTTTGAATACTTTCCGAATGCAATGTATGTGCTGGGCATGTACACTGAGTGTACAAAACATTAAAGACACCTTCCTAATATTGAGGTGCGCCTTTTGACCTCAGAACAGCCTCAAATCGTCGGTGCATGGACTCTACAAGGTGTAAAAAGCGTTCCACAGGGATGCTGGCCTATGCTGACTCCAATGCTTCCCACAGTTGTGTCAAGTTGGCTAGATGTCCTTTGGTTGGTGGACCATTCTTGATACACACAGGAAACTGTTGAGTGTGAAAAACACATCAGTGCTGCAGTTCTTGACACAAACCGGTGCGCCTGGCACCTACTACCATACCCTGTTCAAAGGCACTTAAATATTTTGTCTTGCCCATTCACCCGCTGAATGGCACACATGCACAATCCATGTCTCAATTGTCTCAAAGCTTAAAAATACAGTCCCGCTTTAAATGACGTTCCGCTTATAAAGGCTTCATAAAGCCTTCATAAACACTACATAAATGTGTTACAAATCATCTATAACCTTATGTCATCCTTTATAAAGGGTTCATAAATGTGGCATAACTGTTTGACATAACCACCAATGTCAAATGTGAGATAACTGACTATGTCAAATATGACATAAACATGTGCTTTATAAAGGGTGGCATAAGCACCGCTTAATAAAGGCCTTATAAATCATATTAAATTGAGGTTCACAAAGCATTTATAACCCTGTCATGTATCTTGGTAGAGCATTGCAAGGCCAGGATATTGAGTTCAATTCCCGGGATCACCCATACGTAAAAATGTATTCACGCATGAATGTAAGTCACGTTGGATAAAAGTGTCTGCTAAATGTTATATATTATATTATATTTCACTAAGACATTTCTAGGATGGCCCAACCTCTTTCCCTCTTGGGTGCTGTGCTACAGAATGACACACACTCTAAAGTACAGCAAAAAATGTTGGTAGGGCCGTTTAAAATCCGTTTTATTTTTTGCTTACTTTTGTTTATTCCCAAAGTCAGTGTTCTTGGTTGTGTTTTTCCAGGTTTCGGATTTCTCCCATTTGTTCTGGTTTACCTCATTTTCTTCACACTTTTTAATAGAAAAACAACAACATGTAATTTTTTGTGTTCACAACAATGCTTAAACCACATCAGAGGATGCCTTCTGAGGTCTGGGAAAAATCTAAGATACTTTGATTTTTTAGTGTAGTTGCTCATTAATTCAGTGAGTGTGCCCTGCACTGTTGTTCGGTTAGCGGGTTTTTCTGTAGTGCAGTAAGCCCACGTGATGTGATTCGGCAACCAATGGAATGGGTGGAGTAAAGGGCCAGCAACACTCCCTATTATTCAGAGCCCCATGAAATGACACCATATTTACATTCTACAGACCCTACTGAGTATTCCCTACAATACTTACTAGTTATTGATCTAAGCCAATTTATATTCCATATACAGTGATTCGCATTGGGGGCATTTATTTAACCTTGGAACATGTTTTAAAACCAAAATATAATGCAAATGTCACTTAAATATGAACAAATATGAATCATTGTTAATGTTTAGACAATTATTTTTCATAGCATCAATGGTTATTGACACTTTTCTACTATTACGTGGGGGACTTTTACTCTGACATTTTCCGAAATTCCGTGACCCACAATATTTTTTTTTGTGTTGCTGACGAGACACTGATCATGTGATGAGTTCGCAAATCAAATGCCCCGCGTGTGCTGCCACTGGACAGCGAAACAAGTAAGTTAACCTTTATTTATTGTAATTCAAATTAGTTTGTAGTAGTTAAGTGTTGAGTTAGATTACATACTGTAGCTACTCAATCGTTATTTCAAATAGTTTTGGTGACTTCACAGCAATTGCTAGCTAGCCGATAATGTAGCTAGTGTCACGCCCTGACCTATAGAACTCTAGTTAGTTTGGTCAGGGTGTGAATATCGTGTGTGTTGATTCTATGTTTGTATTTCTACGTTTGGCCGGGTGTGGTTCCCAATCAGAGGCAGCTGTCGTTCGTTGTCTCTGCTTGGGGATCATACTTAGGCAGCCAGTTTTCCTGCCTGTGTTGTGGGATCTTGTTTTGTGCTCGGTGAGTTTGGCTTGTGTGTATAGCCTTCCGACGTCACGTTTCGTTTATTGTTTTGTCGAGTGTTACGTTTATTAAGTTTAAATAAACATGTATGCATATCACGCTGCGCCTTGGTCCGTCCTGTCTATGAACGAACGTGACAGCTAGCTAGCAGGCTCCGCTAAATACAAATCCCCCTAGATACAACCATGTCTCAGAGTCACATCATGAGATTTGTAAATGAAAGAGGAATATAATAATATGAATTGAATGGCGTTTCCCATCTTTCCATTTAGAGTTTATGGTGCAGCACAGAAATGCCCTTATCCAGATGGTGTAACAAAGGCATTTCCTAACAGACCTGCCAACTTTCTTTGATGTTACTTTTAAGGGTGGAACCAACTTGCATTACCTCCAGCAGGAAGAGAAGCAAGAACCATTCATCCGCCAGCTCAGGGACAAGCTACACTATTCACAGCCCTGTTTAATGTTCAATGTAATTACATTGCTGGACCTTTTGAAACTTCATGTATTTGTATTGTTAAAAAAATGTACAGATAAAAAGAAATGTATGGTTTAAACATGTTTTAATGTTTATTTGTTTTAGCTGTTAGCGATAATTCCCTAAGTCAGGGTTCTTCAAGTCCGGTCCTGGAGGGCCGAAACACCTCTGTTTTTCATCCTCTCCTTCTAATCAGGGGCTAATTCAGACCTGGGACACCAGGTGAGTGCAATTAACTACCAGGTAGAAATAAAAAACAGAAGTGTTTCAGCCCTCCAGGACCGGAATTGAAGAACCCTGCCCTAAGTGTTAATACATTTGTGTTTACATAAGCCTTTATGTATGTGCTGTGAATGACCAAAAGTGGCTGACTTTGTAGTAAGTACAGTGTCATATGATACAAGGCATTTACG